CTAGCTGTGGAATTGAGATGGCAGCTGCCCTGTGGGGCCTACAATTTTGCGGGAAAAGCTGAAGCACTCATTCATAAACATAGATACTTCAAGTACTTTAGAAATAACGGCACCACGTGTTTAGCCAAGGTGCACGTGCATGGTTCTTCAAAAATTCCACCAGAACGCCGTCACGTAGCACTTCACTCGTCGTTAAGGCTTGAACCGAGCTCCTTGTCTGTAAAAATACTTGCTTCACTTTTGTAGGAACGCTGTATCTCGGCGCCAGAGCATGGAGTGCTCCACGTGCGCACCTATCCCATATACAAATGGAGCGAAATGGCAGAGCTGAGCGGTATTCTTGCGAGCAACACTAGTGCGAAATCTCGATATCTGAGCTGCAGATATCCATAATGCAGCCTACGAAGTGTACAGTGGTAGGACTCAGTACCAACTTGCCTTTGGTCCTGATTCGTAGGAGAAGTTCCTGGAGTTTTTGAAGTTCACTTTCCCGGACGCTAAGCTTTTGCTTGAGGCGTTCCAGTTCGTTTAGGCGTCTCCTAGCAAATACACCGTCATCATTTGTGTTCTGACACCGCAACAGAGTACTCTGCAGTGGAAGCTTTGGCGGAGACAGGTTTGCATGTAGCAGCTGTCCGCCACTCAAGGTTTTTCACCCACCATTGAGCAAATGAGTGTTTCTGTCAGCGAATTGTCACTTACTCTGTGACGCTTTCCCCCTTGTAGCTGCTGGGACAGTAAGCAGTCACTCTCTCTGGCAAGTGCGAGACGGTGCAGCAAATCAGTTTGACGCTTGGTTGTGTCCTGGAGCAGTTGCTTGAGCTTCGTGTACTGCCGTTGCTGTTCTCGAAGTTCTGCCTACGGCGTGAAATTGGTACCAGTCGGAATTTAACATCGACGAAATCAATCTCTGTGGTTGGCTGCACGCTGCTACAGAACCTAAGCAGGTTCTACCCAATACAGAACCTTCAGAAGGGTCAGCGAGTGTGCTGTAAGGAAGTCGAGTTTCCGTGACGTAGAAACCACGTATGGTGGCTGCTTGCGCGTGGACGCCAGTTTACCTCATACCTGTTTGGCGGCCATTACTTCGATGTCTTTTTCGAAAGCCGGCTTTATGGGTTCACTGCGAGCTCGACTGTCAGCCTGACCTGCAATTTCGGCAGCAGCTTCAACCTGCTCTAGGGTAAGCGATACGCCAAATCTTACGAGCTCCACAGCTTTAAACGTCTCCCGAAGAGATGAAAGACGTTGCGTATTCTGCATATACATGGCGAGTTAGACGTAGGAAAGGGCGGCCTCCTGAACAGGATGCGCGATTGAGTTTCTTGTGCAGCTTATCAATTGAGCCTGTTCAGTCCTTCGGGCGGTTTCAATACACAGTCGCTCTGGGAAAGCAAAACAAACTACGGTGTTTGGTTGCACGCGCCTGTTTATTTTCTTTTCGGGCCATTACAGATAGGCGCCTAAGCTGCTTGAGATCGTCCGCGACGACCGCTGTTTCCCTCTCGAGTTCTTCTACTCTGCAGACCGGTTCAGCAGAGGGGACGGCTCACAATTATTTAAGAATTGCTCCTGATTGTTCTGCTCACGAGGCGAAGACGGAAGGGCTTCATGCTCTTCCACTGCAGCGGGAGCTGATTCTTTATATATGGCGAAGCGGATACCGCCTACTGCTGTCCCAGAGCGGCGAATCCCGCGAAACTAAAGAGCAAGGCATTTTCTAGCTGGTCTGGTAGGTGCCATGTATCCGCAATATTCGATAAGCAACGAATCTGACAGTCGCACATAACAACACTCATACAGACAATTTTCTGTGGAGATCTTTTTGGTCTGTCCCTTTTTGCACAAACCATCGACGCATATAGGAGACGGGCCGGCAACCGACTAACAAACATTCCTCCGAATGCACTTACAGGAAAGTAGGGCAGTGTGTGCTGAAAGTACACACACTGTTATGCGCATACAGGACAATACGAGGAAAAACTGTTCTTGTGAATCACTGCCAACGTTCAGCATGTGGTACCTGGGACGCGCGGAGCGGAACTATAGTATTCAGCTCGTTGAGAGAGCTTTGAAGTTCCCTAAGGAACTTGTGGATGGCAGTCTCAGCGGATTTGTAGCGCAATGCGTGCTGCTTTTGAAGTGCTTGGACTTTTGTGTATTCCTTAGGGCGGCAAAACACCATCGAAAGAAACGCCGCCCAGCTCAATCGAGGATGAACTTGCCTTCTGTCCATTCATGCTCAAGCTTGCATGTACGTACACCCCTAGAACTTCGCAGTTTCGTCCTTCTATGCAGGAAGTGCGCAACTTCTGAGTAGTGGCTCAGAAGTTGTGATTAAAGTATGCGCCCCAGCCCGAATCACGTGACTGGGGGATTTCCGCTATTTTCAGCTAATGCGCGTCAACAGTATTACTTTTGTTTCGATGCAAGGAAATGGAAGTTTGACTCGTAGAGCTAAACGTACCCTCTTCAACTCATCTAGCTCCCGATGAAGGGTTGCGATCGAAGAGTCGTTTGTTGTTTTGAGGTCCCTACACCATTAAGGCCTACAGTGGACGACTCCCGTTAGCCAAAAGACCTTCAAACAAATTACTACTTAGTGCAATAAAAACTGAGGACGCTCACCGTAGTTCCAAAATTGCCTCGTACACTGCCATATCGCACCCCAAAGGGCAAACATCTTCTTCAACATCCGCAGAGTCCGCCTGCAAGGGCTCTGCCTCATCTACCTCGTCTGCATTCGCAACGTAACCGTTGCGCGCGCTGTATTCCTTAGTTAAGTCCCTAATATTTTTCTTGGTTTCTTCCAAAGCTCTATAAAAGCGCTAGGTTTGGCGTTCAGCTCCCTTTTAAGTGCTGCCCACTGAGGCCGTTTTTGCGAGCAGCATGCAAAGAAGATGGCTGAAATTGCAGGGTCCACACCTTCAAGGTCGCTGGACTCTGCATCTCCTCCAGATGAGCCCGCAGGTGGCTTGGCATTTCTATGCATCACCTGCGGAGGAGATGTGGAATGTAAGTGTGGCGTGCAAGTAATATAACGTGAAGAGGGAGCTGTATTGGCGCCGTAACTCAGCACCGAAAAAGCACAAGAGAGCTGCGCAACACACGAACAATTAATTAGTTATTAAGTCGGAAAATTTCGGTAGCTGTGGAAAATTAGTACATTGCGTTCGAAAATTTGCATTAGGGCGGCTTGTTGTGGATTGCGGGGTCCAACTGCCTCTGCCACCCGTCGGCGGATGTCTACTTCTGTCGCCTGCATACATACCAGGCACGATAGCCCGCAGTTTTGATGCTTTCGCGTTGTATGACTACTGAGTCATTTCTAGCCATGCAGTTAACTTCTGAGCCTCACATGATACATTGCATTTTAATGAATCACGCTCTGACTTTAATGTAGTAGTCTCATGAACTCACGTGACAGCTCTCTATCGCTTGCTTCCTTTCGGTCATTGAGGCATCAAGACTTTCAAGGCGACCTTCAACCTGCTGACATTCATCCCGTTCGGTTGAAAGGTCTTGCTGGAGCTTCACACATCGGGCCTCCATTGACTCAATAACTGACAACTCTTGGAACTGCTCCTGAGAAAAGAATGTGATGGCTTCATCGAGTGTCTGCCGGAAGAACCTGCGCTTTCGCTTTGGCTGCATAAGCTGTGAATGAAGATTATTGGGGCAGAGCGGCCTTCACACAAACAAAATGAATGGAGACGTACTAACTGCTTTAGGCGAGCAAGTAGCAGCTGCTGGTTTATCGCTGTCCTGTCCTTCAGCAGCCCGCGGAGCTCGTTGTCGAATGCTGAGAGAGCGTACTTGACCTACAGGTACAAAAGCAGCAATTTTGTCCCAAGCCTGTAAGTAGCTTTTTGCAACTGACCTATATTTCACCATTCATTTCATCCTGATGTAAGCTGAGGTTGGAATAGCCTGATAAGTGCTTTGCCTAGGCATACTGTCTCAATGGATCCACTCGCTTGATGTTGGACCTGCATACGCTGAAGTGCTGCCCAGCTGTTCTTCTCTGAAGGCCATGACTGGGGGCTGGTTGATTTATCTATGTAGTATGGCTCGTAGCTCGTTGAATATTCTTGCAAAGTGTATGCAGTGTCGGTACTGAAGTTTTGGGCCAACTCGCATTCCCTGAGGATGTCTATGAGGCTCATAAGCTGTGTCCTGAGATTGGACTCCTTGCTGCTAATACCACTTCCACCTGTATTTGTATTCAGCTTTGCACCAGACACAACAAACCCGTAGGCATATGCTTCGAGCTTGGCTTTCTTTGCTTCGAAAATTGGTGCAAACCCAGTTTGACGCAAGTCTTCGAATGAGACAGCGAAGCCGTCGGGACGCCGACGGGCCTCAGCAAGTGCAGCAATCAGTTCGTCACGCTCTGCCTTCGTGGCATCTGTCTCGAACAGCGCCCCGCTGTCTTTCAGACTTTGAAGTCGTCCTTTTAACGAATCGCTGTGCCACACAAGAAGACACCTGGACAACGAGACGTAAAGCAGGCACGCTTCTGTGATCCAACAGTGACGAGCACTCACATTAGTTGTGCTTTGTTGATGATCCATAATGACTCGTTGGATCGTTCTTGAGCAATAGCTTTCTCTACCACCTGAACTAAAGTCTTAGCTTGGAAAAACACGGGAGAATTCTCCAGCTTAGCTGCCTGCAAAGCCTCGTTCACTCCGTGCAAGACACTGCAGGATAGCCTGAGGAGCTCCTCGCGCATTTGCGACAGCACGGCAACACGTCGATTAAATGAGGCAGCCTTTTCTGATGCCCACTTCCTAAGTTCCACGATTTGTTGCCGTTTTCGTGAAGCCATGGCCCTGTAAGCGTATTTCGCCTCACATGATGCCGTAAGTCATTTTCTTGACTCTAGCTATATACTATCATCCAGTCGCAATTTTGCGATCACACGGTGTACTTCAGTCAAGTATAAAGAGTCCTGTGTGTCTTAAACCCTTCTATTTTTATTCCGCTACCTAGTTAGCTTACAGTGAGGCCTCAGTAACGCTTCCAGAGTTAGTTAGGTTGTACGCATTCAAACTCTTAATTGTTTCCGCGATGCGACATTCATCTCGAGGATCCGTAAAATCCTCCTTTGGCTGCGCCTTTAGTAGGATCGCCATCTCCTCCACACGCCGCCTTCGTGCATCACTCCAAGGCATAGTTCCTGTTATTGCATATTGGCAAAACGCCGTGAGAATAGAAGCTGTACTGCTTGCCAAAGCAAGCGGAGGACACACATTGGAGAGTTACTGCAACAGCGAGGGGAGTTCTTGTTCCATTGTGCTTACCTGCAGCTTTTATGGAACTTTCAGGTTGTAGAGAAAGCGCAACGAGGGTACCAGGTCCGTTGCAAATGGTAGGTATTTGCATTCCTTGAACCTTCACAGCCTTAAGTGCCTCTGAATCTGCTGTTGGACGTCTGCTGGAAGCTGCAAGCGCAAAAATAGCCTATACATTATTGGTAAAATATATTGGTTAAAAGTCTAAGAATAAAGCAGGTGCCCTAAGTCCCTTAAAGCATACGAGGTTAGATGCGTGTGCTGTCTGCGTACAGGGAGTCTGGGACAATATTGGCAGCTCCGGGAGCAGCAGGCGCCTGAGCTCTTGCTCTCTTGCGGCCTCCAGCACTGTTTGAATATTCTTTGCGCCCTGTGACGTTGACTGCGCCTCTTCCGCTGTTTGTAACTGCTGGTTATCCTGAGAAAACATAACACAGGCAAAAGAAAAAACGATAGGAGCAGTGACAGTCTAGTTTGTCCATGACTGGGCATTGTGTATTCGCGACAATGCTTGGAGGTATGCCAATAATGGACTAGCCCAGCCTCAGTTAGTATTCAACATGCGGCTTAGCGCGGCCTAGCTAATCCGTGAACTAACGCACAAGAGGAGTTTGGTTTGTGGGAAACGAATAAACACAAAGATTTTCGAGGATGCCAGCTGCCGCAAAAGTCTCCAATGCTCCGTCAAAAAGTCGCTGCAAAAGCCAAGCGCTCTTAATGCTCTCATCAATTATACATATCAGGGCGTAAAGGCCTGAACTTAACGCGAACTATGGGGATAACTTGCCGAGCATCTGCAGGTGGCGCTGCGGCAACAGGTGAAAGTGGTGCCAGGGTGGCCTTCCTTAGGGATGCCGCAAAGCTACATGCTGGTACGAGTAAATTCTCTGCTGCTGCTTGTGAGTAGCTGGTAAGTGCCACGTGTGGCGAAGGTCATACTGTCAAAGTATTTATGAGGGCTTGATGCTGTTCCCTTGCACTTTCTATTTTGCGCTCCACTGTCCTTATGGACTTGGCTGCTTCAAACTCATCAATCTGCAGCAAGTCTCCTCGGATTACAAGCTCCATCAACATTTCTTGCGTATTAACACGAGGCAAGTTCTTCGCTCGAGTCACCAAGCTCTGTGGGACTCCAGAGGCAGCGCAAGAACCGGCCGGGTCTGCTTTGTGAGCTTGCAAGCTTTCCTTGTAAGCAGAAGGATTGTTTCTCACCGAAACCATACTTAAATCCACTGGGAACTAGTGCCTGCTACTTATATCAAGGCACATGGAAGTAAGGCAATTCAGCTTTAAAGCTGCCTATATTTCCCTGAGTCCACCAGTTGCCCCTGGGCATGTTTCGACGGGATTTGCTTGTTTAGGTGCAGCTACGCTGAAGGCCACCAGAGGCTGCTCGTAAAAGAGGTGGCCGTGCCTGAAACCGTTGTGTGATGTCCTGTAGCCTAGACTGCTCCTGTTGCTTTAGAGCCTGAGCCTCAAAATCAGCTTCTTCTTGCCTCTGCAGCCTTCGCTTCTCCTGTTTACATCGGCAGAGTTGTAGCAGCTTCAGTCCAGCATTTTACGTCTCTTCGCCATACATTACAAGCGGCGTTGCTGATATTGCTGATTAGCGGAGAGGTTTCCTTGATTAATGAGCAGTGTTTTATTTGCGACCTGAGAAGTGCAGCTAGAGCAGCCTCCTGCGTCTGTAATTGTCCAGTACTCAAGCGTACCATAATCGTGGGCTCTTGAGAACCCATGATGTCTTGTATAGCGTCCAGTGTATTTGAGTGCTCTGCTTCTGCAATTTCTGCGGACCCCGATGTGATATCATTGGTATCTGGCATATCTGAGATCCCCAGCGGGACGAGAAGAGGGCATGGCATCTTTGGCTCTGTAGTCTTCCTGCTCAGTCTCAAAAGGTAAGCCATGAAGATAAGGATTTCGCTTTCGCGCATGAAATAAATAAATCTTTGTTATTTATAATGTGCAACGCGTTGTGCTACCTGACTCAACTTTAAGCAGGTGTAGCGGGGCTGAACATCAAAAAAAAAGATAACAAAAGTTTATTTTTCTTATGAGGGCACACTTAGCGCTTGTCCCCCTCGAAGCTGCAGTAGCTTCCGCGTCAACCTCATCGTCACACAAAGTTGCATCTGGCATGAGCAAACGGCGAAGAAATTGCTGCTGCTGCTGGTGCTTTTCTGCCTGCTGCTGCGCTGGTCCACTTCGAAGTGCCTGCTGTGCCTCCACACGTTCCGCCTTCGCCTTTTCAGCTTTAGCTATCTCGAGCTCTTTTTCGTAGTCTTGTGAATTCTTGCAGAGAAGGCAGACACTTTCAAGGTCAAATTCGCACCTCCACCACGCCCCATTCTGAGCTGCAGCAACTATTGCCCACTGTTTTGTGCGCTGCACTGGCCTCAGGAGAATGTTTGTGACGACCCCGACATGACTGTCAAAAACTCTAGCCTGGAAAAGGCCACATGATTTTACATACAAGCTTCAAAAAAATTCTCCATTTAAGATTGCTTATTCTTTTTCCATTCTTTTCATTTATAACTGGTGCTATTTTTTTTGAAGGCTGGCGTTATTTTGGATCAACATGACGTTACATCTCTGATGTACAGTCGGCATATACAGCTAATAAGCCCTCACCACTGCGCAAGCCTTTACTGTGTCAGCGGGAAAAAGTAGCACTCTTCCGTCTGATGTGCCAGCCACAAGCAGTCCTTCCTCAGGAAGTGCCACCAGTTGAGTGAGATGAGGCCCCAGAAACTCGTAAGCATTGTACTTTGTCTTCGTGGGCTGTTGGAGAGCATTGTAGAGTGAGATTAACGGACGGACGGCCGTGTTTGTTGCCGAGGAGGCAAAGGAAGTAGGACTTCCGGCTGAATCCAATAATGTGTGTATCGGAGTGCACCATATACCATTCCTCATATTCGAAGTACCGGAAAATAATAGAAAAGCATTATCGGCGGTCCACCTTTCGTTGTCAGCATAAGGAGAAGCGACGTTTCTGCCCGTTTTATTGCTACTGATCTTCCAGGTCAGTAGATCAGTTGCATCTGTGCAACATTGCATGCAGGAGGTTGTTATTGCGGTAAGCCGAGCTGTTGCAGCTGCAGCTGCTGCAGCCGCCGCACGACGGCGTTGTTGCTGTTTCATCGTTGCTGCGAGGACGCGCCGGGTCTCATCCGCTGCTGCCGCCTGTTCTTCAAGGCTTCCACTTGAGGAATTCATCATATTTCTATTTTGGTTAGTAATTGCACGAAAATCTGGCTCACGTTCACAAGCCAATTCCGACTCGCTATCGCTACCGCTGAATTCCTCCTGATCTGGTGAGTCTTCACCTTCTGGAACCAAGCTCCGTAAGGCTGCCGCTGATATTTTCAGCTCAATGCGCCTGCGTAGTTGGAAATAAGTCCAGTAGGTTCAGAAAGCCTTTGGAAGTGCCGGCAACATTCACCACAGGGAAATCATACAACTTTAACTCGATGACTGCACTGAGGCAAAAGTGATGAGTAGCCGATTTAGCACTCTGGTGGCCTTGCCTGAAAAAAAGAACTTGAGTCAGGTCTAGCGGGTCCCCTGCAGCCGGCGAGGCTGCTTTTTCTGAGGGGCGCCGAGCTATATTTCTGGGGGTCTCTCCATTCAAATGATTAGCTTCTTCCAGCGGTTCCACTTGCGAACTAGAGTCTGATCTCCTGTTGTCGGCTTCACGCCTGTTCCTGTGTTCCTTCGTAGAAATCATCTTCTCTGCTGTGGTCGTGTTCTTTTTCTCACCCGCAAGCCCCGTATCACCACCTTGGAGAGCTCTTTCGCACCCTGCCTGTGCAGTAAGTTTGTCAAGCCCAGTCAATACCAACAGAGCTGCATCAGTTGCTACGCCGAGCAGCAATAATGGGTGTTCCCAGATTAATTTCGTCAAAGTTGAGGGCGTCTTGGTAAAACCAAGAGGCTCAACCTGCCAGCTTCTTCCAACACCGTTCAAAGTCGCCATATCTCCATTTTTGTTTTTTTCCCTTTCCATTTGATAGGACAGTTGAAGTTTAAGCAACAACACTAGGCCATCTTCTCCCACCACTGCGAGGAGCTGGCCTGAGCAAATCTTGCAAGAAAGCTTTGGCAAAGAGTAATCGCACTGTTTGCTTTAAAGAAATTAAGCCGCTAGTGTTTTGCGCCTGCTAAGAGCAACAGAATCTGACAGCTTCTGCATGGTATTCTCAGAAGTGTATTTGTACTTGTTGGGTCGACAGCCAAGTGCTCCACAGCGCACGCATGCGTTTTGACAGCCAGCACTAGCTGTGATCCGTTTTTAGAAAACTCGGACATCCGAACAACTCCGTCAGAAAAGCCAAGCAAGGCACAAGAAGATCTTGCAACTTTTGTCTCCGGCATTAGCGCGACGCATCTGATGCAACTAGAATACCTCCTATATCGACAAAAAAATTCGCCCCCTTCAAGAAACCAACATTCTGGTTGTCTGGTATTTTTGGGTAAGTTGCCCGGCTTCCTGCAGGTCTGCGGCGAAGGAATCGAAGAACCTACCTGCAGGTCAGTGGCATGTGACAGGGCGGGCTTTTCCAGGTACGTGCTGAACCGTCATCTCCAATGGTTAGTAAATCTGCAAGTCATAATAAACTCTTTAAAGCACAATATTACGCTGAGTGTTATTGGTGAACATGACAACTCGCGTTCTCATTGTGCAAGTCACCAGCAAAATATTTGACGAGTCATGCGCAATTTCGCCCGCTTATCGCCCCAATTGCTCTATTAAAAATCAATGACAAACAATTTTTCTGTTTGGCTCCTGCGTGAAACCTCCTTATAGGCATCCTTATTATGAGCAGAGCATACCCGCCCTAGCATCTGCGAACTCATCAGCTACTTCCATTGCCATCAGAATGCTTCCAGCGTGGAAATCAAGGACCTCGTAAAACGAAAACAAAATACCCCTTCAGACAGCGTTCAGTAGTGTTAGTTTTCCAGAGACAGCGCATATATGCTTTGCCAATAGGGTAAACAGCAACGACTGAGACCGCATACAAGGAGCTTCTCTTGAACCCTACCTTGACTAAACTATCAAGCTGGGGGCAAAACAGCCATGTAGTACCACAATCAGCAACCACTAGCCAGAAAGGGCTAGAAGTGTCCCTGATTTCATATACACCCCACAAAACTTGGTAATTTTGTTCAAGTGGAAGCTCTAACCTTTGCAGGGAGCGCACCTGTTCTCAATTCCGAACGGCTGGGAAAAAAGGCACTGTAGTGAGCGCAGTATGTACACTAGAGAACAGTCGGCATGTCGTAATTTGACCTACGGGTGTGGCAGGACCTTCTTGATTGGTGCGTATTCAGGCATAGCGAAGCTCTTTATCAGGGGGACTGCAATTTTCGTTTCTTCGGCCATGTCATTGACTCCTTCAAGGATGGCTTGGATGTCCCACCTGCAGCGGGCTTCCACAAAATATTCAGGCTAGCTGCTTGTAGCATTTCTGTAATGACACAGCTTCTGGAGTGCAAAGAATATACAAGCATCTCTAATGAAATGAATTTCATCGTGTACCATTTCATCTGCCCGTCATTGCCAGCGGAGACTACGTGACTTGCATTCCTTGGATCTCTGAATACGGTATTAACGGCTCCCCGATGGCATGACGGTAAATGTTTGATGGGAGGCTCCGTTGCGTCGTGGACCCCGTCTTGCCCATTGGAAGCGTCCGACACAACAGCAGAAGAGCTTTTGCGTCCAGAACGCATGGAGCTTCTAAGATTATTACGACTACGCGCTGTTACAGAGGGCCCTCGTTGCGACGATACTTCATCCATGCGATCTCGTGAAGTGAGAGAGCTTCTCCGATATGGATTGAGAGCTCCAGGCAACAGCTCTAGCATTTCTGCCTTGATATCGCCATCCTGCAGCACTCCACCATTCAGAGCGTACACAGTTCTCCATTCCTCTTCATTCAATCATTGCAAGGGCAGGAAAGGATTTGTCCTTCGTTCCGTAAAAGTGCGAGAGGAGGCTTTTTGCATAGTCAAGTGGTCTTTTCGGTCCCGAGCAATCCTAACAGAGTTATTCGAAAGCATACAAATGGCTTGCATGCTGTCTCACCTCCCACAGAAGCAGGTTGCCCGAATCGGATCCTGACAACAGCATTTGCTCCGTGATTTCCACAAAGCTGCGGATATCTGAAACACTCAGTTGTCCAAACCTACAAGTCCGCCCCTGAAATGGAAGCAAAGTATGCAAGCTAAAGCCTACAGATGTATCCAGCAGATTTTCAGGGAGAATATCTCGTTAAAATTGGCAACGAAAAGATGGAGCGGCATTGCTGACTTGAGGACCCTATCTAAGACGTCGAGTTTAATTTGTTACGTTGTTGAACAGATGGCTTGTGCAACAGGGTGAATCTGACCTTGAGTTTGAGACCAGTGAAAGTTTGAACAGCTGTCCAAAGGCGAATATGACGTGATCCTGAAGTCGTTAATTGGTACGCGAAGAACGGTGACCTGTTCGCACCCCATGTAAACCCACGGTTGCGATATAATCATATGTAAAATTCTAAAAGCCTCCGAGATACAGCAGCACTTAGTAAAACTCCTGCCTAGAAGAAGAGAAGCGGCCGCCTGCACCAAACTTCATACCATTGTAGGTCCAGCACTTGCAACGCGGGAGTGTTTAAGCGAAGGAATGCAGACGCTGTAGAAACGTTCCAAAGTGTGAGGTAAGAGGTAGAAAGCGAAGCGACTTCCCCCTCATCTCCTTCCCACCCGACCACAGCAAGCAGCGGTACTTGCTCGGGATCAACTAGCTCATTCTTTGCCATGTTTTCATTCGACGTTTCTTCTATTTTGAGCTTCAGAGTGGAAGACCGCATCACAGTACTCTCGCGGCATGTCTCTTGACCTTTAGAGGCCTGTAGAGTTTCGCCACTCGCTGCGTTTTTATCCGATATCTCAAACTCCCTATTTGCGTCTCGCGTCTCCGGGTTGGACCCTCCCATCGAGATGCCCACATCATTGCCAGTTAAAGCAAACTTCCCACGAAATGCCGCGGCGGAAAATCCGCGCTCAGCAAATGCCTTACAGAGCTGTACGAGCTCAAATGTGCTTGATGAATATATATAGATATCTGCAAATTTTTACAAGAAAGCGCAACGCCGCAGCAGTAATGTGAGGCGTAGACGCAGGTGGCGCAACCCAGGGGCTTTTTTAGTTGAGTGCATCTCACATCTCAACAGCTAAGTAAACAGAAAATCTGGTATCTTCTTATCTGTGGTATATTCTTGAAGCTAGAATATATTATTTCTGTACGGTTTTGAAGACGGCCTGGAGCCACCGACCAACTCGGACGTGGCGCGTAGCCATACCATAGCCAGGCATTGAGCGATTGCTTACTTGCAGGCTTGCCGATACTCCGCCCACAAACAGCTATGAGCTCGTGGTCGTTGTCTATTGCCACTGTTGATATACCGCCATCATCTTCGAATGTATTTGAAGAATGCAGCACATAAGGGTCCCTAAGGCATGGGGCGTTTGAAGGCGTGAGGAGATCTGCCTCACACTTGGGAGGGAAAGAACCTATTTTGTATAGTATTAACTGTGTGTTTGTAACACAGGCCAGCGTGTTTCTGTCCACAATGAGCAACTGCTGCCTTGATGAATCCTGGCCGCCAATATGCGTTGTCCTCATTGGAGGCTGGGCCAGACCCAATGCGTCCATTTTTGCCCTCTCCACACTTTTACTTTTCAAAAAAAATCCACTGCAGAGCAAATGTTGTGAGTCTAATACTCCCACACCAGTCACTTGCACGGCTTTTATCAAGTGTCGTCGAAGTTGGAAGCGTCTGATGTCCCCTGAGATTATTCAGTCCTTCTGCCGCCAGAAAGGCAGCTCAGGTTAAAGTAACACTGCTAGCTCCAAAGGCTTTTCTTCACATCTTATCAGGTTCAAACCAACCTGCATCGATCGTGCTGCTCTGATTTGCCTGAGAAAGCTGGGACTAGTATCGGCACGTTTCTCATGCGGCAGAGTTCAGACACCCAAGCAAACATTTTATTTTGGAAGGCTGTCAAGTCATGGGGCAAGGATCGTGCCGTCCGAAGCAGTGCTCAACCCTATACTTTGGTGGCACTTCATGGACAGCTGCACGAAAGTTTCACACTGAAAAAACCCTAGAGTTAATGAATAATCTTTATCTTTTAGAACATATGTACACAAATAATGGACGTATCGCATGGGGTGTATATGGAGAAAACCACCAGGTGCTTTGGATACAGCCACATCCCGAGGGATTTATATACGGCATAAGCGTCCTTGAAACTGGATGGAACTCAGGCAAATGCCGAACAAAGCACTATTTAATAAAGAAAATGATTAATTTTGGTACTGAATGCACCTATGTGCGCCCTGTGTGGGACTAGTGTCTTGAGCACGACCACATTTCGGTGATCTTTCGGCGTCGGGGTCACCTACTGGCGTCAAGAAAAGGGATTAGGTAAGCGGTTTCTGTCTTTGCAGAGTTAAGAACTACATTATTTTCGTTATTGAAGAGCCAATGCTCTTCATGCCGGCCATTTCTGTTCCTCGTTTACAATCTGGGAGTTGAATCGTTAACTTCTGACACAAAGTAACCACGGTTCAAAATACTCGCTGAAGTGAAAGCCGGAAAACTGGCCGAACTGAGCCTTTCACCTGTTCATAAGGACTAAATATTTTTTCCCCTTACACATAAATAAAAAGTTTTACCTTTTCTGCGAATATTTCGTTGGCAAGACGGGTGCATAGCGAGACCCTCGCCTGTCTTCTGTTGCTCCAGAGCAACGAAATCCTGTGCTATGCACAGCATAAAAGCGACCGCCACTATACACCACGTTTGCTTGCCTTACGCTGTATGCATACACTAGCTTTTCCACTGCTGCGCATAGGGACCCAAACAGAGTCATGGATGGGGAAAAGTTGAAGGCTTCCCTACTTGGCGAATGCAACGGCATCAGGCCACAAGCTACCAGTAAAGACTTGGCCGCTGTACTTTTAATTTTTACACGGCAATATAGCACATTCTTCTTCCGTATTTTCAAATGCTAAAATCCCATTCCCACAATTCTTAAATTCCAGCTGTGCTGTAACACGATACCTGTAGCGCAGTATAGTCAATAAATCAACGGCTGGCCATCAAAGCCTAAGCACCACTACAGCAGGAAACACCCATAAGCTTGTAGCACCGGTCCACCCGATATAATGCCAGAGCGTGGGGCGTTCATTCGAAATAGGACGCTTGTCCTGTTTTGGTGGCATGCAGAAGACTACATCATGTTTCCTGCACCAAAGCTGTGAACGTTTCGCGATAAATATGCTGCGGCACAAATATTTTTATGCCTCTTGGCAAAACGCATTTGGAGAAAGGCAACAAAGTAAGAAAGTCACAAGATTCCTACACCTACAACGCGCGGCAGGCGCCACTTCTTCTGTCCTGCAGCCCCAGAGCGCGTAGCATTACAGAAGGGCTTCTTCACAGGCTACTTACTGCGGGGAAAAAACCCACTACTGAGGTTTCGGTACGTAGTATCCCTACAGTAGCGGCTTGCAGAGGGTTAGGCTGTTGACAAATATGGAGGGTCACATAGGCTTACTACTACTGCAATTCCAGATGCACGTTGGTGCTCAGCGTAGCACTCTGCAACCTGGACCTGCACTAGTGCGCAGAACAAGTTTCAGAAGATACAGCATGTAGCGATGCCTTATTTAGAGGCAAGAAGGGCCTATTTACTATTTACTTCTGTAAAAATGTCGCCACAGGAAGACAATTGTGCTTTTTACAAGGGCTGTCAAGAACAGGCGTGCCTCTCTACTGATGTATCACCATGTCTGACAAGCTAAAGGGCAGATCATGCACTGCTTAGCTTTTGTGGAGCTATTTCAGTCTAATATATTAACAGTCCGATATTTCAGTACCAGGTTTGCAAGCCTCCGGAAAACTTTATGTGAAGCCTGTAAGGTACGAGTAAGTGACAAGCACCAATCCGCCTATCAAACTAATGCCACTTACACTAATTCAAAAGAAAAGGGCAAAAGTTTAGGTCAAGTACGTGAAGCTACAAGGCGGTAGATAGCAAGATTGCGGTGCCTAGCTTGATCCAGAAGGAAGGGTCCTGAGAGCCGCTGCGTATTTCTTGCATTGTTACTAGGGATGGCCTCTCACCGTCCCCTGAGCGGCAAGGGTACTGGTAAATGGGGCACATGTAAAGCGCATCAGAAGAAGGGCGTCTGCGTACAACCGGCTTGAAGTGCACAATAGGCATTTCGTATGTTAGTTGCATGGGCTCCGGCTCCTTGAGAGACATCCCTTCAAGGTTCCACGAAGCGCCTTCAAGATACATCCGTTTCACGTATGCTCCATCTCGAGGCATTGCCGAAATCGCATTCTCGTCATAAGTAGTCTGAAAACAACTGTCAATCCTTCCATTCCATCAATTAATCTTAGCGAGCCCCTACTTCCTAATGATCGTGGGCCACAGTGCTTTTCAATGAAAATGCAGCTCTGCTAATATCCCTATCTTGAAACTTTGTTCCTGCTTAATCAATATCGAAAGAATGCACCTGTGCTACAAATTCGAAACTAATAGAGTCGATTGAAGTTGAATTTCTCCTTGCGAACTGTTGCAGCAAAGCTGTCAAGAACGCCCCTGGATAAGTGAAGCCGCCCAACCAGAAAACTTTCGGTTGGCTCTCCTAAAAGCGTGTCGCACACCAAACAAGGCAATTAAATGCATTCAGGTAAAAGCTTGGGATGCCTATTATTCCGTTCCAGCCTACGCAAGTTCCCTTGTGGAGCTCAAATCCCTCGAAAATGATCCAAGGGTGGGCAAAACAATATTAGAAGCACCGGCTTACAAGACCCCACTTCTTAATTTGGTCCACTCGAGCGGAAAGATCATGCGACCATGATGTTAGGGGTTTTGTAGAAGGGAAAGCAAAGTTCCAACATTTTGGAACTTGCCCGTTCAGCAGAGAATACTCTAAACTCTCAATATCCTCGGTCATCACCTGAATCCCTGCAACAGCCTTTCTTAGATGCTGAACCATGTCTCTGACGCATGCTACAAGCCTATTAAGGCGCTGCGCTTCCTGAAGCATTACAATTCGAAGTGGTGAAGAATCTTCAGGTCCTTCTTGTTGTAACTGAGCCATATCAAGACGGTGGGGAAGAATTTGCTCTAGATGATCGCAGCATCGAATCACCTATGCGCAGCAGGAAACATAGAACTGCCATTTGATATGCTAGTCCAACGCGTGATTTCCACTGAGCAACTCAATCCTTTCCAGTAGAAACTGCAGGCTTGGAAGGTCAAGGAACTGTTGCCTGTTTGTATCTTCGGAGTCTGCACACCCTGGATTCTCGCGATTCTGGACTCCCTGTCTCGTTAATATCTGATCCAGGAAGCTGCATACTTAAAAGCGTGGAAAACAGTTCCTCTGCTTCTTCTATTTGGGACTGGATCTCCGCGTTGACATGTTGACCGAAGAGTTCAGGGGGATCTATTGCAGGTAGTTCACGAACATATTGCCGCAGGCCAGTCTGTAGGGATCCACACTTAAATACCAAGAATTTCTGGCAAAAAGTAACTGGGTAAACTGTGTATTAGATCAACCAAAGACGATCCCCAAAACGTGTGGAGACTTCAGGGCGAAAATGTGCGTTAACATACTAAAGAGGTGTTTTCAGGCATAGGATACTGCGGAAGCCCTTGGAACCTAAAATCACTCGAAAGCACTTGCTGATTAAAGCAGTCATTACAGTACAATCGCAGCAACCTCATATCCCTTTCATCAGTCAGGCGTCCACCATAACAAGCTCCAGCTATTCGGAAACGTATTGCCTCCCACGGGAGCTCGCCTGGCCACTGCACCACACATTGCCAGGTGACGCTCACAGATACAGCATCTGCAAGTACAGGACGATAAAGGCGTCCCATGCATGTCTGCATATGGATTCCAGTCGTTTACCTGTTCGCAGTAGGTGGCAAGGAGGCTGTCTCCGACGAAGAAGTCACTGTCACCGAAACTGGCAGGCGCACTCCACCCAACATTGTGGAACTTTCCCCTCTCCACTAATATGGAATGCATCCAACACAAAGAGAAAAAGAGCCGCCTATAGCGCTCGTCACCGCCGGCCACACGATGCATATCCTCATCAGTGCGCTGCTGCAACAGGCGCTGGAGATTTGCTTTGAGGCCACGTGGTCTTTCGATTGTTATCTTCGTCGACCTGTGTCACCGAAGCGCACAAAAACTATGGCAACTACAAGAAATAGCAAAGCTGAGTATCCCGAAATCAACTCGCTTTTGTAAAGAACTTCCCAAAAAAATCGACGTTAAAAATTGATACGGTACCTTTGCAAAAGAGCAATGGGAAAATGCGTTGTAGGCTCCGAGCTGAGCCATAGCCTGAAGTCTTTATGGAGCTGAGCCTCAAGAATTTCTTCAGCTAACTTTTCTAGTGTCGGAAGCCAGGAAAGGGCAAGGTGGCAGTTCGCCAAAAAGACCCAAAACCCATGGCGCGCGCCGTCACGAATAACCTGCTCTGCTCTCGATGACTGACCTTGGCCCAGTGCAACGGAAACAACCTGTTCACAGCACGAGCATTGAGTCCAGGACTTAGGTGCGCAGAGCTCCTAAGCACTAGGTCTGAACAGTTCGCGAACTGCTAAAACTAAAACGACACTTTGCCACTCGTAGCTTTTGCGTACGGTGGTGTTTTTTGAGGCAGCGAATGTCATCAGCTGTCCGACAGGGTCTACTCCAGACACGATAAAAAGCAGTGGCACTGAGTTTTTCGATGACGCGTATAGTTCCTCCCAATCTAAAGGGGCCGATTCAACGAACTTGGAATCCATGGCATCAGCAACAAATCGAGATGATGCAGGGATTACACGGTCAGGACGTAGGCATCTAATAACGACGAGCCGCTGGAGGCCGTCTAGTCGAGTTTGCCATTCACCAGGCAGAGCTAGCCGCTCAGGTTCGGAAGATCCGAACCATCGGCGCCACTCCCTGCACCAAATGCCACATGTATGCATTGGTAGAAGCTTTCAGCGAGCCATCAAATGGAACGCAGTAGAAAATCTCACGAATGAAGTTTTCACATTGCATGGAAAAGTCCCAAGATTGTCATGGCTGGGGACCAACATCTATTTAGCATACCGTAGGTTTTGTTCTATAGAGCTCTGTAAGCCTTGGAATGCTTCTAGCTGGTCAGCCTTGCAAATAAGCTGCCACGCTGCCGGCGCAATCCACTCGGGGTCAGGGTTAGGAATAGATGTGGCCGCATCGTGAAGACCACCACGCGTGAATAGAAAAGCATACTCGTGACGATTAATCTGGTCTTCAGCAAGGAGAATACTTGCACACAGGTGCAGGCTTAGTAGGGGCTTGTGACGCTCAAAAACACCCTGTCTTGCGTGCCTAGTTGACACCAAAAATTGAGAACAAAGCAACGCCACAAGCATTTACCTTTTACTGTTACTAAAAGGATGCAAGTTCACTCAGTTAGCAGCCCCCGTACCTGTATATTGCAAGCGTATGATCTGCATTCAGTGCAATAACATGTTCCTCTGCTGACGCTGCCACTGCGTTTGACTCCATCGCTCGTGTGATTGACTCCATAAACAAGTCTTCATAGGCGTCTAGCGAAAATTGATACATTGAGTCTGCTAGTGCTAGATCTTGCAAGACGAAATACAAAACTGAAGCACGATGGCCGCATGGTCTACAGACAGTGCGCACCGAGGCAATGCGTGGCCCTATGCCTTATCTGCTAATTGTGCTTGAAAGGATTGCCATTTGGAAGATTCGGTAAACGAGCTTTTTGCGCTTTAATCCACCTGCGAAATGTTTTTTTTGGATTCTTACCGGTATGCTTCCCGCGCTTGATCGATTTTCTTCATGGTGCGCTCGGACACTTCAATTTGTGAGGTAACATCCCCTGCAACGCGTTTTGAATCCTGAAATGCATCCTCACTCTTTCTGAAGTGTTGCTATTTAGCCCCAGTCATTCTGCGCTGCATCCCTCTGGTATACACTGTGAGTTGTGGTGTCTTCGCAGAACAAATCTATTGGGGCTTTGCTGCCCTTGTACTCACTTGTAGCACTCGGATAAGCTCCATGTCATCTAGAAGGTAGCCTCTTGCCGCAGTTAAAAGCTTGAGAATTTGATCCTCGATGTCTTGCAAACGCTTCCGGCCTTCAGCAAGTTTCAAAACCAGTGCATGCTTGTGTGCTTCCAGGCTTGGCTCTTCCTTCATTACAACAATTCCCTGAATTTTAAAAAAGAGAATGCACGTTTTGAGCCTTCGCTTGTTTTCTTAGAGAAGAAAACAGAGCCTTGCTTCACAGCGAGAGAACAGCACTAGTATAGAAGGAAGTTCCTCTTCCTCCTTTTCAAGGAGGAAAGGAACTTCCCTGCAAGTAGGAGCCATTATCACGTCAAATCTGTCTACCCCTCTTGTTTTCACTGGTTTGACCTTCGTTTATCCATGAATAGGAGAGTAAATCAAAATTTGATGCGATCTAAAAGCTTTTTCTGTCAGCTAACCAGAAGTTGTTCCGTCAATCCATCTTGCATGATGACGAAGTTGATTAATGTGACTTCTGCCTCGATTTCTGGGGGAAATTGAGGATTTCCAATTTTGGTCGTCATCCAGAGAGAAAACTTATCATTGTAAGGCACAAACTGGTCCCCTGCAACACGTTATAACGCAGCGCGAAAGCAACTTCATCATTCACGCAACAAAACAGATCCCCGGGAGATATGAAGGCTGTACATCGGCATACCAATGCGAACAAAATGGTTTCCGTTAACATCAACAACGTTCTTGGTAATAATGGGCTCGAGTGATGGATCTATTTGAGTCTGCAGGCGCTCCAGCAATACGGAATGCCCGGTTTGCACCGAAAGGTGAAGGACCCGCATTAGTGACTTCGATTCAGGGTCAACAACCTGAAGCAAAGGAAATACATGCAAAACCCGGAGCTTGTCAAGCGTGTTTAGCAGCTCTTTTGGATACCTCTATACTGATAGGCGAGGCAAGTTGTTTTACATTCAATTTTTATTGATTTTTTACCATGATATCTGGAGACTTTAGCTTTCTAATCCACCGATTAGCTTGGCTTTGAGGGTCAATAATGAGAGGCCATTTTGAAGCCTTCGTTATTAAAGCACCATTTTCGGCGGAAAAAGGATCCGTCGGAAGCCCATCCAACTGCCACTGTCGAACTTCCACAGCGGTGACAAGAAAATCGGTGAAATCGAAATCTGCGCTGCAGGGGATATTCGAATCTTGCAGTTTGCGCATCCACAGCTCCTTTACCTGAAGTGTACGGTCGGCAAGCAGGCCGTGCCGCAGAAGCATCTCTTCAGCTTTCCTCTCAAAACGCGTCTTTTTCTCTGCTATTTTGTGGACAGGAAATCGACTAAAACGGTTGGTTGCAGGCTTACAACTTCCTTTCAAACTTACAAGATGAGATCTATAGGGAGATGTAAAAGGGCCAGCGTACGACATGAAGGCAGCCCCAAGAAGAGCATCTCCCGGAATATTGTCGAGTTTGTCCCTGTGGCTCTCTAATGATAGCTCCCATCGATCTCTCTCGTCTGCCAAGCCAGTAATAAGGCTTTCTGCTCTTTCAAGCTTCACTCGTAACTCCTCTGCTGAATTGTTGAGCTCGCCTTTATTACGAAGGCTCTCGTCGTACTGCTTATTCAGCTCCTCAAGCCGTTTTTGTATGTCCTCCAACCTGCAAAGGAACTCCCAGACTTCTACGTAATTTCTACACTTCGCTCTGGCTCTAAGCTGGTGCCTTGCGCATGCGTGCTGCTGTGCTGACCTGCCGCGAGCCAGGCGTAGGTCCGTTTGTTTCTTTTCAAGCTCCTCTTCTGCAAGGCGAAGCTTCAGGCGTTTTGGCTCAACGTCCCTGTAGACTTCCGCGTACATTTGCATGGCATGGACCCACAAACACAAGGCTCCAGCAGCACGAGAGACTTTCTGAACGTTCGGTGGTGCAAACGAAGGGTCTTTTGTGAATTTCTCGATCTTTTTCAACGTTGCATTTGTAATTGAGTCTTTGTCAAAGTTTTTAACTCTTGTCAAGAAACTGGGATCATTCAGTTCAACTTTCGCCTGAGACCAAGAAGGCGGCTTTTCCATGACTGTCATAACAGCCGCCATTGTTTTGACTACGAGTTCTGCAAAAACACCGCACAGTTGTAGCTATCACCTGTCACGAACGTCAAGCAGGCAATGCTAGCTACACGCAGTGGCCAACCAATCACATGGAGGCCAAATTTGAATATAAGGACCTGGTGGCTTTGTATACGCCTTGACTTCGGCAACTGATTTCTTGTCAAGTTTCTCAAGAGCATCTATTGCTGCTTCTAGCGCTGGCATTGCTTTGGCAAGGTCTCGCCTAGCTTCTTCCGAAAGGAGCTTCGTCTCCACTTCTTCCGTTTGAATTCTGGCGCTGTCTGCTTCAACCTGCATGCCGCATTATATAACTGCGACAGTCTGGTCATATTTTTCATGGTGCGCCATATTTTGTACGGGATTCATTCAAAATTACTTGGTGTATTAGGCACTCAGCAAAGGCAGAAAAGTATCTTGATACCTGCTTCATTTGTTCGTCCGCCAGCGTGCGTTTCTCGACAATGACCACCATCAGTTCGTCACACTCCCGCTGCTTTTTTGCGACATCCTCTTTTTTGGCTTCGAGCTCCTCATTCATTGCCTCTACCTGATGTCGGGCCTCTACTAGCTTGCCTAAACCGGTTGACAGTTTGTTCATCTTTTCGTGAACTCCATCCCGTTTTTCCTTCAGCAGGCATCGATAGCCCTAAACCACAGAAAAGTCCATGTATACTTGTTTTAAGCATAAGTGCATGTAAACGCAAGCTGGAATTCGCGAGCGTTTGGAAACTTCGGAAGTCTTACACTAACAAGTCGTAAAAACTTCGTAGGCGTTATATAACTGGTGCGCTTTGCCTCTCTCCAAAAAGCTTCAGCTTCACTGATAGCATCCATGTGAACACAGCTGCTCGCTTTTGCAACCGCTTCACAAGTTGCGCCGTCCATATCCGCATTTTCCAGGAAGGTTGCTGCTACCTCCTCCAATGCATCTTGGGGCCAGGTGAAGAACCAGTCGATTGTCGTTTCATTTATGAATGCCGGAAACATCCTGAATTTATTTGTGCAACAACGCTTTCAAGGCATTCCAGCATGAAATAACTTGTCCAAAGGCACGCAATCATACACGGCCATGATATGCTGTTAGCTGCAGGCCTATGATATGCGTCCCTGACATCCGCTACTTGTTCCTCACCGGCAGTAGTCCCTTAGCTTGCTCCCAATTGGGCTAACACAAAGCAGTACGCGAATATTTTCCTTGACGCGTGACAAGAAAAACTCGACAATCGCATCAGGCTGTACTGAAACTTTTGCAGCTTCCGCTGCAGCATGGAGATCTTTTACGAGCATCCCCACGCCTTCGGAATCCAGCATTCCTGGAACATGCCCAGCAGCTAGAAGGCTGTTCAGGCAATCTGAAAACGCGTCAGTCTTGAGCTCTTTGTCGGTCAACAGTATACTAGTCCGGCTGCCGTCTATACCTGCGATCAAACGTTGCAGGCGCGGTTTCGAGATCGCGTCTGGACCCCCTTGATTTTCATGCAAACATTGTGCTGAGGCATTCTTCAACAATTCGGCGCACCTGCTTTTAATATTTGCTGTTTTAAATCTTCTTTGAATTCACAAATGGTAAAGTTTTTCGCCACTCGGACCTGCCAAAGGCTAAAGTTCAGGAGCTTTGTGGCAAGCATGGCCAGTGATTGCCTTCCACTGCCTCCAACCCCAACCAGCAGCATGTGACCTCTGGGCATACAAAGCACCCTGTGAATTCTGCAGCAGTGCTCAACTGCCTCCCTGCAAAGACACCCTCAGGACAAACGCACGCTGGAAGTAGCCGTAGACCCCAAAATAGGCGCTTGTGCTGCGTGAGGCAGCGCAATATACCCGTTGACAGGATTTTCCGGCCTAGTTGTATCTGTGGATGCAGAAGGCATGCATACTGCCTAACAAAACACCTTCGATAAAGTTCTCACCTAAAGAGAACCAAGTGAAGTGTGCCGGTCTTGCTTGTTGCGTTGATCTCCTTCAGCTTTACTTGAAGGCTGGCTCTCAACGCCTGGCGATCCTGCACTTCCTCGTACCCACCTAATGCTAATGCCCCAGACTGCTCTGCACGCAGGTGACTAAATAGGACGCCTCTATCCTTTGTCAAATCCTTTGTACGTATTTGGAACGTTTTCTCAAGAACATTTTCCAGGACTTCTATAAAATGGTCTACATCTTCAACAGATGCTAGGCGGTCTTGGTAGACACGCTGACACTCATGATACCTTTGTACAACGCCCAAAAAGGAATGCTGGTGATTGCATGATTGATCAGTCTACGCCTTTGAATTGGTGTATTTTTGCGACCTGTTGTTTGTAGCTTGACCTGAAAGCCCGTACCATAGCTTAAGGAGAGCATCCCTATCCTCAATGCATCGATGATCAGCCTGGTAGAGGCCGTGAACGACTTTTGACGTGTCCCGCATGCTGAAAAGGTAGTGCGGTTTCTCAGGTTTCGGTCTGAAGCTTTGGCGGACTGCTTGGTGCAGTGCCACAGTTGCGGCTGCGATATTCTCTGCAGCACTCCTCACGTCCTGCATCGGGAAGCGGGACAGAAGTAGAACATGATTGCAAGCAGACCTTACACAGAAAAGCAAAACCACGCTGTATAGTGTACTGACGCTTACTTCTTTGAAATCGGAAAACTTGTGTAAAACCAACGTTTGATAAATGCGGTTGAGGCGTGGCAATGAGGGCTCTAGAAATGCAATAGTATTGAAGCGCGATAGCAACCGGGGAGCTATTGTAGAGCGACCGCCTTCAGAGGATCTCATGGCTGCTATAACTTGCATGTCGAGAACGACCTTCAGTGACTGCCGGCTCCGATCATACCTGAAAGCGACAGCATGCCAGAAGACTACTTTGGAAGCATGCTGAATAACACACAAATGGCAATATGCCATGGGACTCAACTAAGAAAACAATGGGAATATCTGCTGATGTTCTTTTCCTACCAGCTGCCGTAGTCGATAAAGTGTCTGAGAAGCTCAAGGGGTGGCTGGGAACCAAATTGATCTGGTCTTGGCATGTCCAGGTCATCGATGAAACAAACCAGTGTTCTCTTCCCAGGTGGTCCCCATTTTCCCTTCACACGTTTCTCTAGTTTGTTTTCGAAGCCCTGCGTGAGGCGCAAATTGAGCAGCAATTGCAAATGACATGTGAGATGCCTGTTGTACTTCGGTCCTAGCCGCTGTTGGCGTCTGACATATTGAATGACGTACCTCCTGTGCTTCCCTTGAAGAGGTCTGTGAGGAAAAGGTTAGCGTTGTTGTTGTGTAGACGCTGTCAGGCAAGTCGTTTAGAACGGCTTTTAAAATACAAGAAGTTTTGCCGCAACCGCGGCTCCCAACCACAAGAGAGTGAACTTTGTGTCGCATAAGACCACCTAGGAGGAAAGCGTGACAAACAATATCAGCCGTTGGAACGAATATCCGGTGAAATGGCATGCCATCTAGCGGCCTGAAACCACATGCAAGTCGTTTGTTCGGGGGAAAGTGCGTTTGCCAACACAGCTGCTCATCAGCCAACTGCTCCGCGCGTTTGCTCCAAACAGAAAACTGCAAGAGACGAATGATGCAACTTCTTTAAGGCATAGTCGCAGCATCAGTTAGCCTCTCTGAAATATGCCTTTAGAGTGTTTGCCACTCATTCTGCTCTACCTGTACGGCGAAGGAACTCGGTCCTCCCATAACGTCCACTCTCCCTTTTCAACACTCAGGGCGTAGTCGTACACGGTATGAGATGGAGGGAAGCTGTTGCTAATCTGACGAATTGTTGAATCAATGTGCGACCGGCTGCTTGATGTCATAGCTGCTCCCACAGTCCAGACAAGTGCAAAAAGGAAGATTTTCTCCAAAAGGGGCTGTGATCCGTGACTCTGAATATTTACAGAGAGACTCTTGCAGCCAATACAGGCCTTTGACAGAGAACTGCTGCAGTGTCTTTGATTCAAAAGCTGCCTAGCTCATACACAAATTCTAACCGAGTCAGGAGTCATACTGTCATGAGTGCCTACCTTGACATTCACAGTTGGTTGGCAAGCAACTATTTCGAACAGTCGGCAGAGTGATAAAACAGCCCCAACTTTCGATAATTTCACGACTTGTTCACATTCGTGAACTGCCTATAAGACGTAACATGCATCACAAAGAAGTGCACGCGAATGTGTGACTCCTGGCTACGTTGGAATATATCTACCGACTAAAATGTTTTGAGGGGAGAAAAAGCTTGGATATGAAGCTGCACTGTCAGAAACACTCTCAATTGATTCTGATAAGCATAGGCGCATTTAGGATGCTTACCTGCTGCAATTTTGGTAGATACTTGTCAAAGAGAGATCGCAAATATTGAGCTGACTCGTCTACGCCGTATTGTTTGGCTATCCATGCATCCACATACGGGGCCCAGCCTGAAGGGACGTATATATTCACACACCTTGACTTAGGCTAGGCTATTGGGTACTAATATGCTTATGCTTGAAAATATTAAAATTATTATTTATAAATTGTCTGTGTAATATTTGCGATACTATATTTTTAGGAATTATTATATTTTCTATAAATAAGTAATTTAAAGATTCGTGAATTGCCATTTTACTCTTGGCAGGGGCAGCACTCAAAGAATATGTTGCTTACCTAGCATTGCAGGGTCCATAAAGAGTATGCCTACTCGACTAACGGTAGATGGAGACGCAGCCGATAAGTTTTCAACTTCGAAAAGCAACGACACCTAAAAAGTCCATTTCCAGACGTCCGAAGGAGCTGCACTGTGCAACGCATCGTTCCAGTATCCTGATATTAACATCTACGAGAGAACCTATTCAGGCTTACCTGGGGATGTAGCTCAATTCTATCTCCGTTCGTCAGCGTCAGTGTTTTGCTGTCATCAAGAAGTGAATTCATGCTTTCTACCCACGTCGTGTCAACTGGTCCATCAAGTACAACCCATCTACTGCATCTGCTTTGTAGCTGCACTTCATTGCAGCATGTTCGAAGCAATGCTGAAAATACTCCATCAGTCCACTCGCGTGTAGTGGTGCTAAATCCACCGTAGAGTTCTGAGCCGTCAAGTGACTTGGGATTGACAACGCATTTTTTGACTCTGGGAAACTCTGGTCCTGTGATTGACGCAGGCATTCCCTCGAAACTTGCCAACTGTTTTTACTAGCCACAAACGATTGTCTGTTCCTTATATTCGCCTTTGCAAATGGAGTTAAACGGCAAACTGCAGTTCAGGCGAATGCATTTCTACGCCATGCAATCCTCGCTAAAGAAAACACGAGCTGACCTCGAGTACTGAGGTAGTTCAAAGCTTGTTCTAGAATTGACATGACTGTGGATTTGCCAGACAGAGTACTGCCAACGAGCATGTTTCCATGTCGACTGTGCATGCATTGAAACAGCTGCTGTGCCTTGGTCATTTGACTCTCTACTCTGGTCCACCCGTTCCTCTCTACTGCCAACTCAATAGCTTCCCGGAGAACTTCTGATTCTCTCTGTAAAAGAAGCACAACACGCTTGCTGATCTTGCGAGAAGTTTCCCAGTGAAAAGAATACGTATTCGTATATGAGGCTTACTTCAACAAGATCACTCTCAGGGAATAGATCCTTGACAAGAGAAAACAAAATTTCCAAGTCTTCTGGAACAGTTTTAGGGACAACCATGTCAAGTATGGCCAAAATCATAACAGCCTGCTCCGTCATGCTTTCATCAGCCTGACGCTTGACTTCTCCAGCCCTCTGCAGCGCTGCACGAATTGGACGGAGTCCAAAGTCGTAATGGTCTTGTTTACTTAGCTGTTGTGTCAATAATTGAAAGAGAGCAGTAGCTTTCCGCGACAGTGATCGGGCATTCTGCAGAGTCAGAAAAACATCACCACCTCAGAAGAAACCCTCATCAAATGTATTTTAGCATAACGCTCAAGCATCTGATTCCTCAGAACGTCCTGCTGCTGACCTCAAATCCTTCCGACATTAGGAAAATTTCACATATTAGTGCAACGTCTGGGCTCATCATGGCAACGGGGCGGAATAGGCTTTTCAAGTTGTCAGGCAGGTCTGCTCTACCCCTGTACCCTGGATTCATCGTGCTAAATATAGCACAGCCAGTGTCCAGGCGGATCCTTTGTCCCTCAAAAAAGAACTTGCGTTGCACGTGCTCATCCGGGGGTATTTCCCTGAACGGGCGCAAGAACACCAAATAGCGAGATGGTCACGCGCCGCATATGCCATCCTGTATCTCAAACTACGTCTCATGAACCACTTGCCTTAAAGCGTTCTGAATAGTCGATATTTGCTGCGCAACTACGGAGAGAACCTCCAGGCCTATCCGGTTAAACTCGTCAAAGCAGCACCAAGCGCCGCTTTGGGCCAGCCCACTAAAGATTCGGCCGAGGGACAAGTAATCAAGCGCGTCCGAGCAGTTGAAAACAATAACAAATTTTGCCAGTGTTTTTCCAAGGTCCTTTACTGTTTCAGTTTTTCCTGAGCGAAGCGACCAAAGTTACACTCAGAATTTTTAGTATTTAGTATTCGACACACGAAAACCATCTTAAGTCCAACGATGTTCCGTAGAAATTGACACAGCGGCAAGCAGTTTTTTCAGCTGATCCTATAATGCTGCAGCATTAGCGTACCGGTGCCTGCAGGGCCTTGGCATGATCCGCCCAGCCTGCAGTGTAAGGCGAATGTAAGGGCCATAAAGCATTGGTCCGTGAGAGGGGTTATGACCAGCCGACTGTAAATCCCTTGATACTCGTAGCCGTAAGGTGTCACTGTTTCTGTTTGGAGGCCCTGGCACAGGAGCGTGCCCGAAAAGCCTGCTTGGTTGAAGGATGCCGGATTGCCGCCTGCATGAAAAAAATGCAGATCGTTGTCGATGATGTACACCATGCGTCACTGGTCAAACAAACAGAGCCAATGCCATATTAACCCCATTAAAAGGCTAAGAAACTGTGCCTGTATCGTAAGGCTTTTACTTCTGTCAGCCTCAGAAATATCCTCCCGTAGCTCCAGTCTGAGTTGTGAAGTCCACAAAAAGTGGTGTTCACTGTCACAACGACTTTGAATCAATTTCTCCTGGATGAACAGCACAGCAGTGTGCATTTAAAAGATCTTCTGCAGTGCTCGCTGCATAGACCAAAAAGCAGTTCTCATCGTAGTGTTTCAGAAGATCTAATTGTTAAGGTCCTACATGCACGTCGCGGTTGTGCACTTCAACAGTCACAAGCGCCTTCAGTTTCATTCGGTCTCTGTCATTTCCTGCCTTCTTCAGAAGCTCTGTCAGATGAAGTAGCTGCCTCAACTGGTGGCGTTTTAAAGTTTTCAGAGCGAGTTTGTTGCCCTTGCTGAGCCGGCGGAGTGCACTCTCTGTCTCCATGGTCCTAATGGAGCAATTAGGTTTGAGGAAATGTAGAAAATCTCCTGAGCCCTCATCTATCGCCAAGGTAGATTATTTGAAAATGCAATGTGTGTACTCTACACGTTAACTGTCTCACCAAGTGATTTGGCAAGATGTAATGACCAGCTGGAAACAGTTATCTTTGATCCATTTGTCCTTCTTGCTTCCATGCGCCATGCTTTGCTGATGTACAGCCACTAGCTGCTTTTTTAAAGTATCGTGCATTGAGCGTGTAAGCTGAGCAGAGTTTTCACAGTGGGACCATGAAATTTTCCACAAATTGTGGAAAATTACAGAGCATGCACGGCCTCTCTGGATGTGCGCTACTTATTAGAATTACCGGTACCTTGTTTAGCCATTGTTCTACACCCCCTTCTACAGATATCGGTCTTGGAACAAGCTTTAGTCTCTCTCCTTCACATGATGTAAAGCCATCTGCTTCCCAGCATTTGTTCCCACGTCTTCCTGCAGTGGTTCCACAGGTTGTGTGAATCCTCGCTCAGTGTAGTAGAAAACAAAGGCCTTGCATTCCTGATCAATGGAAGCAAATACTTTGTAGCTGTCTTCTGTGGCCGATTGCACTACCGTATTGTCCTACCGGGTGCCACAAGATCAAGGGATCTTATTCCTTGGAAACACTTTTTGATGTAATTCTGAGCCTTCTCGGGGTCCCTCGCATCACCCAATATTTCAAGCATGTCGGAATTAGAAACGAAATAGAATCGAGGGAATTCCTGTCTGCAAACGGAAGACACAATAGACTGCAACATGTGTCATTAAAAATTCTGAACCAAGATCCAGACACCATGCTGAACCGTCGTGGAAGAAAATATGAAGAGCCCCTGGAAAACAGAAAATCAAAAATATTAGGTGTGTTGTACGAAGAAACACCATGAGCACAGAGGGCATCGGATCTCATCAAACGAACCTTTTCCTCTCCAGGTAATCATCGAGGGACTTTTGGATAGCTTCTAAATCATGATTCATAAGACGGAGTTCCTCCTTTATGTTTGGTTGGCTGCAAGCATTGACGAGTGTGGAAGCCTGCTGAAAGTTCAACAGCGTGTAAAAAAAGAGCCTATCTGTCCTATCGAATAACGTCGCTTCCTGGGGCAGCAGTATGCGGATGTCTTCAGAACCTGTCGTCTCGTAAGCACAGAGGCAAAAATGCTTTTCTTGTCCACAGTAGTGAGACAAAGAGCACTTTTAAAGACTCCAATTTTGTCCCCCTACCTCGAAAGACATTTTCAAGGTACGCCCATTGTCTTTGCACCTGTTGCAACAGCTCCAAAAGTTCCGCAATGACTGAAAGAGTAGACTCCCAATAGATTACGGTGTCTTTGAAGGGGACATGAAACTGGTCGTTCTTAATGGATGAAAGGCTCAGCAAATGCTCCTCTAGCGTAGACAGAAGGTCTTCGTCTGTTTCGACCCGAAGCATGTTAGTCTTGTATGGCACAATTTTCAGCTCCAATGAGCTCCACACAGATATAATTTCATTGAGTGCCCCTTCGATCTTGAATTCCTTTCTTGCTTCTTCAGTCAAACGGGAGACCAAATCTGTAGACGATTACACATAGATTTTGCTTCTGCCATCAAGCAAGCGATGTCTTGAATTGCTTCAAGCGCATTGTTTACAATAACAGGAGGGGCGTGTAATACATACCAGAACGACGCAGAAGCTCCAAATGAAACACAGACTTCAAAGTGAACTCCCGCGAACGCTGGTCAAATCCTTCGGCTACCTCTGCCTTGATCCGATCCCAGTGACGATCTCGAATCGCCTGAACGAGTGATGCATTTTTGCCGTGTTGGGCGCTGCACTTGCTGCTGTGTTCACGTTATTTCAGCAGTTTATCTTTTGCGCACTAGAACCCAGAAGAACGTGATTCCCACATTTAAAAATGGCTCAAGCAGCCCGTGTCAAAGAAACCAAATTGATTATGCAGAGTGCTCACAGGGTCTAAGAGATTGGTCACGAGAGGCAATGCCTGTATCACTTGCTCCAGCTCATGCTGAATCCTTCTCCAAATAGGCCAATCCCTGCCCTCCTTGATTTTAAACAGACGGTCAAAAAAAGCGTCACCTTGTGCATAAATCTCCGGCACATTTAACGAATAAAAGGGTTTGGAGCTCATTGACTCCCACGCTTCGTCCCAGTCGTTCTGAGAAACACAATGCCATGCCATTGTACTCTTGAGTACACAACTACATTCTTCGTAGAGGTGCTTTTTCTCCTGTAGTGCTAGAGAATTACAGTGTGCCTAATGTAGGGCAAAGGCGCCTACCTTCAGTGACCACACGTCCCACAACTTGCCGATATCACTTTCCATCTGTTCCAGGTCCCGGTTGCTGTGGTACTCAATTCCGAAAAACTCAAGAATCGGAGACAGCTCCTCCCTGGAAGCAGCAAGCTTATTCAGGTCAGCCTTGAACCCCTCTAGAATCCCGAATGCTGTGGCAGCCTCACATTTGAAACTTGATCCGTCAAACGGCGCGGAGATCATGAATTGTTTAAAGAGGTCTGACGTCCTGCGAGCTAGGGAGGTGACAAGCATCTCGGCATCGATTTTCATAGCCTTCTTTGTCCTAAAGTAGGAAAAGAAAGACAAAAAGAAAACACCTTGTACGTATTCAAACCGAATCAATCGTTTCACACGTTATATGCTGGGGCAAAGAAGCACTTTGCTCATTTATACACATTTAAAATGTACAAGAAGATAATACGCCTTTCATTTCGTCAGAACTTTGCAGGACTGCCATTCAGCGTTGTGGCTAACCTACCGGATAAGCATGCTCTCTGCAGCATCTAGTGCTGTCTGGAAGCCATCAATTGCTGGCGAGAGCTTTTCCAGCTTCGCCGCTTCTTCTTCAGGCACATGAACTGAGCGTATCGCAAATAACGTTTCATCTGTGCCAGTAAGAGATGGGCCAGTAAAGCATGATGAAAGGGCTGAGGCATGTGGCGGCGCTTTAGAATACGCAAGACTGTAGAGAAAGCTGCGTACTGTAGCCAAGGTGTTCGACTTTTTTTGAATCCGAGCAATTTCTAAGACTTTCATTCTGTGTCTGATTCAATGTCCTTAACTTATACCTCGAAGCTCTCGAAGAGTAGAAAATTGCTCTTGAAGAGGCCTTATTCTGCCGCGCAATTCAGGCAACTTTTGTTTGCACAGACTGCATAGCTCAACTTGACTTCTAATCTCTTCAGTATTAGTCGGAACTCGCTGCAGAATTTGGGTGTTCGCTGAACCACACACTCCGCCCTAAAATGCAAATTTCTAACTTATCCAGATATTAAGAAATCTCCGAGGAGAGGTTTATCCCATTTATAGCTGTAATAGAACATCTCAGGCTTCTATAGCTACCTACACTCAATGTAGTCGAAGATCGCGTTTTGTTCCCTCCTTGCGCTGTTGTGCAAATAAACAGTCAGGGCTGTTTGCTTCATGGAGCAATGTCCCAACAAAGATTGCTTTAATTGTGTGAAGTCGGTTTCTAGGAAGCAAATAACTGTCTGCGGATTCGTGCACAACACGACACGCATTTCCAGAAATCATATTGGCTGGTGAAACTTAAGAAGCGTGAGTAAGCAGTCGCTTTCTGGCAACTAAGTATATGCCCTACACTTGCTAGCGTGTTCACCTTCGATTCTTCCTGCTGTATGTCACTTTGATATTCTCCATATTCCTGAATTGAGGAAACGACTACATGTAATGGCTGTTGTGTGCTGTGAAGCAGGACACTTAGGGCTTCTGCTGTTTCTCCAAGAAGGCACGAATAATTCGTACTCCACCACTTTAAACGCTCAACAAGCTTGTGTGATGCACTCCCTATGCAGCGTGACACCTGAAATAAGAGATGCGCAACGAAAGGCTTCCTTGTGTACGCCAACCCAAACATTCCAGGAGCCTGTACCCATTTCCTATGCATTTCCAATTTGCACCTGTGATGTTAATTTTTCGCATTCTTCGTCTGTCGCCAGTGCAGGATACCAGCCTTCGGTCTTCGTATGCGATTCCTTCTCACCTGTACCACACTCTAAAGGCTGGTGAGCTCAAAGTTAAACAACAACGACATCACTACACTTGCAAGCAACAGTTACTCAATTTGGCCCTACTCGATTTCTTCATCAAGAAGAAACACAGCGGTACACGAACTACGACAGCTGTGAATAGATCGTTCGAGTGTTTGTATATTGCTTTCAACGGCTAGGGCACAACACAACCTGCTTGGCGTTGAGGCCATAGTCGAAGCCTTACATGAGTCTCTGTAAAGGCACAGCAAATAAAAGTGGGAGCATCCGGATGTGAATAGCATTTGCTCCGTTTGCATTATTTGTCGGGCTATTGATTGTGTTTGAGCTTTTCCCGCTCACACTGGTTCGAGAGCTTCGCATATCTTGGGCAGCTGGCTGATTACATGAACCGCATCAAAGCAAACCCCCATAATTGTCGTTTTCAGCTCTTCCATCGGTGGGTCGAATGCCATTATGTTTCCACCTTCAGCTCCCTTATCGGTATGCAGCACGGCAAAAACTCTCAACAGCGGAGATGCATCGATGGAATTGCGCTTGCTTTCCTTCGGGTACAGTGCTGTCGCAAGTTCCTATGGCAAAAATCAAATAAACTGCATTCGTACTGAGTCTGCTGAAACCTGCTTCACCAGCCCTTGCTGCGAGCTGCTTATTCGCTACCTTTTCCCTACTTTTCAGAGACTGAAGCACCGAGGTTTTTAGCTGGGGTGCATGGTGTAGGAGCCGCGGGTTTGTCTGCCGTGAGCCCAAAGGCAGCCTTTCGGAAGCTCCATCTTACCTGCAAAGAGGATCGAACAACTCTTCGTAAAGCCTCTCTCCATTCAACGTCTATTCGTTCAACAAATGAGGTCCATTCCTTCTGGACTTCTTTATTCTGCTCCTTGAATAGCTGCGCGTCATACACAGCTGTAGACTAGGTTGCACCATGTCGATGTAGGTTATGTGGCCTTCTAAATCATAGTGTAACAGTGAGTAAAGTTGATGCGGCCTTTTATCACTCCTTCGGCACTGCACAAATTCGCCGCATCACAGACTTTACTAAATGCACCTCTTCAGTGGCTTGAATAATTTCCACGATTCTGCTGTGATAGTCTCTCAAAGCCAGTAGAGCAGATCTCTGGGTCTCAGCTTGTTGGCAAAGGAACCCTCCAAGTTCTCGCGTATTCTTTTTGTCAACCTCTATGAGCCTGGAACGGGCTGCTGCGTCTATGAAGCTAGTAATCGACGCCTTTGCGTGGTGGAATCGGTTCACTGATTCCCAGACTCCTTGGCAATCCCTCCAGGCGCCACGCACGAAAAATTCCTTGATACCCTACTCGAGAAAACACGAAAGCATTTTGTTCGTCTGCCTGATGTCTACTTGTCGGCCATTGAAGCGGGAACACGTGTAAACTCATTTCGGAAACGTGTTCGGGTCCCCAATTAAACGTCATTACCTTAGAATTCCACGTCAGCTTCTGAATTCCCGGGGATATCTTTCTATCGAGCGCAGAAATGTGTTGTTGAAATAACCGTCGTTCCTCTGACTGAGAGCATGCAATGCCAGTTAGGTGGGCCTTCAGATGTCCGAAAAAGCACAAGTTGCTCCATCCCACTTATCAAATAACCTATGCATGAGCTCGTTGAAGTTCCATCAGAGTTTTCATCATCAGGAATTAAAAACATATGACGTGTTCGTAATTTATTTCAGTGTGGCACTTGCCGCTAAACTCTCAAGTATTGTATTATAAGCCTTCACAATTTTTAAAACATGTTGCTGAAGGAGAAACAAACGGTCCTGATGCCTCAAAAGCTCGAGAACAGCAAACGGAAGGCGGATGGTTTGGTCTTGCAGGATCTGCCAAAATCGAGCCTCTTGCAGAATTCTGTGCAGCCGCCTGTCAAAATTTAGCTCTAGCCAGCCACCTGTAGAATTAGACAGGTCAAAATTTGTTGAACCCGTACACATCAGCAGTGCTGAGGCAAGTGGTACATGGATGCATCATCAACGATGCGTCCGTGTACTCGGTGCTGTTTCGCTTTGGTCGGTCATCTGAACGTTTTTAGGGCGGCGCTGAATGCGCTGTGGCACTGGAAAAACTGACCTCTTGATTTGGTAAGGATGCATATGTCGCAGCCAAACTGTGGGAGGTCAGATGTTTGACTGGCCTGACCGGAGGGTATCAGTGTATCAAGGTCTTGTAGCCATTCCTGAAATGACTTTTCGATAAAATTCTGCAGAGCCCCATCAACAGTACTTCAAAAAGTAAACTATGTTGAAGAAGGCAGCTTTCCATGAAATGCATGTATTCAGTTAGTCCCAAGTCAGCGCAACCACAGAACTAGCTTGCCGCAGTGAGTATGCGCACATGCAGCAAGGCCGCTACATTTTCGAAGAGTTCGAGCGTTTGTTCTGCTTCCTTTCCTTCAGCGGGTAGAGATATACTTCGGAGAGCGTGCAGCTGTCTCTGCAGATAAATAGCTGCTCCTCGGCACCAAAGTGCAGCTCCTGCCTTGCTAGGATGGAGCAGCCTAGTCAGCAGAAACGGAGCCCGATATTTCTTCAGATTATCGAACTGTCTTTTGATGGCTAATAATGACTGCAATGAACGCATCCATAAACTAGCGGAGCAGGCGAAAAAAGTCAGTCTTGTTCTCTAGTTCAAGATGTGGCCTAACCAGTTTTGCGCTTCTGTTCAGGCAAATCAAGTTAGACCGCCAAACAATTCGATTAGCAACATTCTGAAGTTACAAACGCAGCAAATTCTTGCCTGCGAAAAAAGTCTCCATACGTCTCCCGCCTTTTTTTCCAAAAATCTTTGAACTTTTGGTCTTTTGGCGAGAAGTTTGAACCCGTCGTAGATCTCACATGCTTCCTCAACGGTAGCGACTCTCTTAAAAGCAGTCGCAATAACATTTGTGTACATGCATTCCTGGTCGCGAACCTAATATTATGCATGAAAGGACAAGACACTTCGTAGCAGAAATATCAAAGGTCGTTCCCAGTCGAGCCTAGCTTCTTATCTACAAGCCGCTGCTCACTAATGCTGCTACCCGCCCGCAGACGCAAGACGAGTGTCAAAAATAGGATATTACCTAACCTGTTCTTTGAAAAGAGCGTATTCAGTGTGCCAGTTTGTAGCCTTCACTTGAAGGACGTTACGTCCCATTGCACGCAACCTTGAAAGAGTTTTCCCAAAAGCTTCTTGCAAGTCGCGTATGCTGCTACGAAGAGCTTCCGTTTGGAATGCGCCAAAAAATGGAAGGTTACAGGAGAAGGTGTTTTGTTGCGGAGGGACACTATAATATCCCTCCTGAATGCTGTCTCTCTCCTCCTGTTGCTTTGCCTGACAAGAGGGATGGAATTGAAGCTGGGCCTGGCAGACGTCTAGAAGGTCACTACACCGCTGCACGAAGGCATCGCTCTACAATGCAGATCCACAAAGCACCAAACACCCAGTCTGTCAGCACAGTGAGCTGATCCTCCGCATTGTTCTACGATGCAGATTTAGAAGGCACCAAACGCCCAGAATATCAACGAACAATGCGGCGGTCACTTAGACGGCACTCTCGCCGCATCAGCCCTGTGGAGAGCTTGAGGCGCGCTAACTTACCTCGGCGAATGCAGCGCTATCTGCGGACTCCCAACAGCAGGAAGCATTCCCTTCAGCCTTGATTAATGCAGAGAGATGACTGAAAATTTTGTTGAGAGCAAGGCCGCATTGGACAGCGTTCTGCAAGCTCTTCATTGGCTCTTCCACGTCTCCTACCCACATAGAATCGACATTTACTGAGGCTTGCCCACGCCGAATAACTTCGCCAGCGATGTTACGCAAAAGTCCTGAAGAAAGCCAATGGGCAAACTAACAGAGCTGAACTTTTCCAGATTACCAGTCTATAGCGCCTCAACCTTAGCGACGAGTAAATCACGAAGTCCTAAATGCGTCAGGATTAGTTAAAGGATTCTGTTGTGTAAGTTAGAAGGGCCTTCCTGGTTACCACCAATTCTGTCTGGAGTCGTATAATACTTGCTATGTGTAGCAACTATTCGGACCGCCATGAGCAGCTTCGTCGCTGCTGCAGGTATTTGGTGGGACTCCGCTTCTCGCAAAGCCTGGCATGGTCCCCTCAGCACTTCCAAGAACTTCAAATTTTCGGCAGCTTGACTTGCAGCTGCAAGCACCTCTTGTTGCACAGCTCTGCAGAGACAAACGCGTAAAATTCTTGAACATAACGGTATACATATGTTGGCTGCATTGCAGAAGCGTTCTAATGGAATGCTAATAGCAAGTCCTTGATGCCACATACTGGAACTGCATGACGTATGCCGACTTCGCAGCGTCGAGTATCTTGAGGGCTGATTGGAGTGATGGCTCCTGAAACTGTCTCATGAGTGAGCTCAAATTCTGTGCATACTCAGTCCACCTCTGGATTTCCCCGAGATGGCCTGAATCTATCGCTCCTTCTGATCCTTCCTGAGCAGTAAGAAAATGATTACAAAGGGCTCTCTGAGGCTCGGCTGGAAGGTTAGAATGCTTAAAGGCGCAAGCAACTACACAACTCCGGATATGGCGTGCCTACGCGACGATTTGACTATAGATGCCTACGGGACGACTATGGAAGCACCTGGAGCGCCAATGTTTCCTTCACTTGCCGTGTCCACGATGCTGCCAGTGCCTCCAGGCGTTGAATAAGGTCACGATCGCGCAGGCATGCAGCGACATCTGTAAGGTCTTCAAGTGGGAGGACAAGCGTGGCGCAGCCCTGGGCACGATGAACTATGTCTGTCATTCGGCTAACATAGTTACTCAGCTGCGAGCACAGCTCATGTAGTGATCTGTTCCTTTCATTATTCATGTCATTATTCCGTCAGCAAAATGCAGTAACACTTGTCCTGCTGTTTACGTGCAGCCGTTGTGCGATACCAGTATTTCATCTTACTCTTTTCATGACTTCCTTCTTAAAACTTTGCGGCCATGCGTGATTTTGTCCAAGAACGGGTATGTACACCCCACGAATAAATGCGATCACGCCTTCAAGAACGCCACCGTGGAACGAGACACATAGCAGTTGCTCCTCCGGAGCCTCTCGTTTCACCTTTGAAGCATCCCGCTTACTGACGAACACGAGTGCGCTCGCACTTTCCTGCTGCACACCGCCGTGCTGCAGCATAGGGCCAGCGCAATGTACAGGAAGTTCATCGCTGAACATTAGCCGCGAGAGCCCCCACCTTTCAGTTATAGATCCATCTTCCTCGCTACCTCTAGGGAGAGGTGGGCGAGGGCGCCTGCTCATCCACAAAAACCAACGCTGCCGCTCTTTAGAGTGGCAAAATTTCGCGAATTCCTTTGTGTGCTCCGGTGTCCAGTCTTCATCTGCTACGAAGCCAGGCAACTGAATTTGAGCAATGAGCCACCGGGCTAGGTATTCTGTTGCTGCCAAGGACCAGTAGTCATCTGGAGTAGGGAAGCTTCCCTCCTCTGGTATTCCTCTAGGGATTTCCGTTACACCATTGACGGTAGTTACGCCCTTTTGCCTATCCTCAAGTGGCATCGAAGTCTGGCTCTTAGGCTCTTCCTGCGTCATTCTGAACCAGCCTTCGACACCCTTCAATATAGAAGCTGCAGGGAATTTGGCTCAAGGTCTGCCTAGCGTTGCCTGGCTTCAAGTCCAGACTACGGGTAACAAAAAAGTGTAGCAGGTGGTGTTCTCCTGGAAATACCACTGCCAGGGCTCAGGAATATTATTTGCGAATTTTGGTTGGCGTCCACCAATGGAGCAGCAGGAGGAGCTTCTTGCATTGGCAGGCTAAAAAGCAACCCAAACGCAAGGAAGCATTCTACTGTGTACATCGGGTTCCTCGATACTGTAGGGGGCAAAGTTCTAAAAGATTCCTTCCTATGGGTATTTCGATAGCCAGATACACTCGTAGCAAGCCGAGAAAAGCCTGTTGCTCAAGGATGCTAGTCCTAATATGGCACTTAACTAGCTTACTGAACTGCGGCGCAGCAACGTGCCTTCATTACTTAGCACTAGGCAGCACCTGAGTCCTCAAGCGAAGCACGACAGTGAGGAAAGTGAGCTACATATCTTGATAAGCTTTAACAGTGAATACCACAAGTTTGGCTAGTGTATTCAACAGCACTATTTTCACTGCGTGGGGTCCTGCCCAAGCCGCTGATACTACTGGGGCATCTCCCAAAGTCACTGAATTTTCACCAAGGCCTACATTAACAAGCTAAAGAAAGCTAAAAACGTCGATTTAATAACAAAAGAATAGAGCTTGGCATGGACATCTCCCTGAAAGCAGGTCCGCTCCTGGGTGGAGGAGGACCTGGGTGGGCGCTGCTGCCAAATAACAAATAACAGTGGCCTGCTCATTCAGCTGCTGTGAGTCACAAGAAAGAGCCTTTTTAAAAGTTTCATTACGTAAAAATCCATTGGATTGCATTAATATAGGACTCCGACAGCCCTGAATGTTTACACACTGTGTGGGCCTCACGTTTGTGCGAGTGTTCCGTGGCTGTCTCCAAAAAAAAGTGCGCTGCAGGTGGCCCAAAATGTTAAGGCTTACTCTGTAAACGTGATTCATACTTCTCGTTTTAAAGTAGTATACTTGGGGCCAGGTGGATGACTGCGCTAGAAAGAGATCAGCTCACGGTGGGGCGACTGGGGTCACCGGCGTAGGATCGTCTCAATGAAGAGCAGCCTTATACCAGGAACTTCAATGCAAAGTATCCCACTTTTCTACAAAAGCCGTTTTGTCATATGAAGTGCCAAGGCATGTGCTCTGCATGTGGATGGATCGAAAAGTGGGGCTCGTGAGTTACCATATTTGCGCAGCATAGTAGCATAGCAGAACAGAACTTCTGACGGGACAACATGTCCAAGCAACCGTCTTTTGAAAGAGTCTGTGAAATGGAAAGGACTAATTATGACTGCAGAGTTGTAGCTTCCATAGTATGGCACTTCCATGTAAATGCTGAGACATGATCCGAACTCGAAGCACTGCGGCTTTAGAGCTAGCTCGCAGGGGCCGCGGTTCACCGAAGTGGATATCGTGCTGAGTTTTCTCTATCATGGTCTCTCCATTTCCTCTGGTGAGAGCGAGGGCGGGACGCCATGTTACCGCAATATCGTAGCACACCAGCACAGGACTCCTTATGGGGCCACACGTCCGAACAACCGTCTTTTGAAAGTTTTTCCTGTGCACTGGAAAGGACCAAGTGTGACTGCAGAGCTGTGGCTTCCATTGTGCGCCACCTTTATGTATATCGTGAGAGATAATCCAAACTGAAAGCACTGCGGCTTTTGGATTAGCTCGCAGTAGCCGCAATTCTCCGAATCGGATAGCGTGCTGGGCCTTCTACATCATGCCATCATCATTTCCTCAAGTGAGAGCGACGGCGCGAGTTAGGAGCTAGTGCAGCTGCAGCTGGCAAGAGCACATTTTGTTCCAATTTTTATGTCAGTTGCCAAGGCAGTTTGCGTTCCCCCAGAGATGATAAGAACTAGCTGTTCGCATCCTCTTTCCAGATTTAGTGTCGGCTTAGTTTCGCTTTCCTCAAGGAACGCCCGTGCCTCTCCTGTTTCTCTGGTAAGTTCTTACCCGTTACATGCTGTACTTTTAAGGGATAGCTGCCTCAGCCGGGAGTTCCAGAACAATGCACGACAGATCTCCCCGAAACATGATTCACTCTGCCGAATGTTTGCGCCTCCTTGCGGATCTTCGGGTCTACTTGTCAAGCGCATGCTAGCCATAGTGTTAAGAGCAACCGCCTACTTTTGGTGGCCGTAAGGGCGACGCCACCCTTGCTGCTTAGTGCTTTTTGATAGCTGTAGAATCATGGCTGCACGAGGCGCTGTATATGAATATGAGAGATATTTGTTGCGCGCCGAAATGCAAGCTTTAAGTATCACAAGATTATTATTCGTGCTTTGTTTTGCTTTTGAAGGCGTTCGAGGGAGGTCGGCATTCACACTGTGGGTATCTGTGATGCGCAACTTTTGGCTTTGCTTCTTGCTGTGTTGTTTCCCCCAGAGCTCATTATTTCGTGCACCCGGGTGCTTCGGTGTTCATTGCTAGATCATCGTCTTAATTAGGTAGATAGCGCGTAATTGGTCTCGACGTGAGTACTGCGCATAGTAGAGTGAAGGCTATTGTCGGGGCTTCTCAAGGACCAGAATAAATCTAATATTATTTTGGATCAAATACTGGACTGGATGCCCAGCAGCGCTTTTCAGTGCATATTCCACTGCTTCCACGAATCTCAACACTACTCACCAACTAGGTTAATTTGGGTTCGGATTTTCCAAGATCGTTGAGTCGCCCGCTACAACAGAAGCACGGTTGTTTCTTGCAAATTCAGTAGTTCGAAAGGCATCATAAGCTCGCGGAGTCTTTTTCTTGTGCATTGTTACAGCGCAGACTCAATGCTGCGGAATGCTGCACGCTTTCAAGCGAATAAAAAGTGTGAGGGGTAACACCAGAGAGTGGACCTGGAATTTTTCAGGTGAGCTTAAGGCTCTAAAAGTTCCACAGGCCCTCTCATCCGTCTCTCTTATGCCCGAGATCTACTTTGCAGGGCCTGATTTATGCGAAAGGGGGCCAATTTCTGGTGCATCCTGAAAAAATATGACATTTCGTTCCCTTAATCTATTTAGCTCTGCCTTGAGGGAGTTTATCAGCTCCTCCTTTTCCAGTATTCGAGCTTGCATTCGAGACAAAACTCGTATTTGGTCTGCTGGCTCCCACGTAAGAGCTCGCATTTTTCCGGCGGCGCCTGAGCACAGTAATGGACTACGCACTGTAGCCAAAATTGAGCCCCAGGCTGCTCACTACGCAACAAATCTTGTGTGCAGATAAATCCAGGACCAGCTGGTAGCTTTGAACAGTTGAATGGCTTTTCTGAAGCCTGGCAAAGACTTATAAATGGCGCATTGAACTCACGCAAGTTGGACTGGTGATCCTGAGCACGGCGCAGAACTACAACACGCTGCTTAAAATCTCGGTTTTGCTCGACACGCTGCAGCTGCCCCTCCATTCGCTTTATTGCGGTTTCCTGCAGAGCCGCAGCTACCTAGTGGCTGCCCATTGCACCAGAAATGATTTGTTTTTCTTTTATTCTTGGTCATATGGACTATCTAATTCTCTTAAGTTCATGCTTCTCCTGTACGCGCCTTCAGTTTCTGCGGCCAGTGGCAGCACTACGAAGCGGATTTGTGCCATTGCCATCCAAAATGAAAGCGAAAAGCTAAGCCTGTTGGCGTACCCGTTGCTTTATTTCGGCTAGCACCGCTGCCATCTTTTTCTTCAGCTTCACCTTCGCCTCTTCCAGTGACTCAACCTCTTTGTCACCTTTTTGGGTATCTTTCAGGGCATCAGCAGGCACCTGAGAAGCCCAGTTTTGGCTACTTGGGCCAGCTGCAGACCCACTTTGCTCTTTATTAGAGTTCCTTGCTCGCGCAGTTGATACACTTCCTCCTAAAATAAATCGTACAAGCAAAACTGAAGGATTGGCCGATGCACTGAGCAGTTTTGTTGTCGGAATCCTGACCTAGCCAAATATACTAACCTGAACCAGGTTCTTGTGAACAAAACTTTTATTCTTTCGATTGAAATAGACGTGTTTTCCAGCCTTTGCTGTCCTTTTCTCTTGCTGTGTAAGCTAGCAAGTGATACCCAAGAGCATTAGCCTGAGCTTTTGTGTCACAAGAGACCGACATCGTGAATTTTGCATTACAGCCTACCTGGCATTTGCAAAATTCGCTGCATGCTTCTAGTAATGCGTAGTAGATGAACATCTTTTGTTCTCTCAGACACATCTATTGCCTCTAGTTCCAGTAGCCTTGTTCGCCATTGCAGAGACTCTACTTGCCGACGGAGTGCCTGTACCAATGTGCATCCAACGAGACTGATGCGTCGACTTCACAAATATCCACATGTGTAGTCTCTTAGTCCCATCGACTAAAGAATAAGCATTTGGTTGGTGCCTGACTTTCATGGCTTCAAGAAGCTTTAGCTTTTGCCGTCCCCCGGATATAATATCTCGCTTGTAGGCATCTACTGCTTCCTGGCTAACAAGGCATGAATCAGAGAAGTCAAACGGCTCATGCAGTGGTGCAACTGCATCAGGAAGCTCTCCAACAGTGCCTCTTTTAACTCGCAGTAGCAAATCGACATCTAATCGCGATTGCTCGAGGGCTTCGGAGGAAATGTTCAGTTGGAGACGCAGTGCTGTTGCTGCTGCCTGGTGCTCCTCTAGCCTCTGCGGCACAAATTTTGCGCACTTCGCAACGGATGAATTCTCTCGAGACCGAATGCTTGAGAAAGGAATCTCAACATACAAATATCTGTTTTTCTGATATTCGCTATTCCGTTTTGGAGTGGTGGGCAAAAGAAGTCACGCACCTGTTTGATTGAAGTTAGTTTGCGCTGTTCGGCATCTGCGGCCTCCATGGCAAGAACCAACCGCTGCTGGGCGAAGATTGAGTCACGCGAAGCCTCTAAGACCTTGCAGAGCGAAGTATCTGGACTAGCAGAAAGCTCTGCCTGTGACAAACGAAATCTACTCTACGGAGGAATATGCTGGCATGAATGAGGTGCTGCACCATGTTAACAGGGTTACTTCTGTCTGTTATCCTGAGAAGCCACTCCTCTTCACCATGTGACTCTGATACCATCCGCCTTCTCACCTTTAGAGCATCTGTTGCAGTGTCCAGGCGATAACTCAACGCTGCGCATTCTCTCCGAAGAGCCTGCTCTGGCTCTTCCTGTGTTTCCGCTGGCTTCCGTAGACGCTGCGCTTCATCCATTGCTGCTCTACAGTGGAATCGCACAGAGCATTCCGTATCTGGGACAGTTCTTATTAGTGAGCCCCTAGAACCTACACAGGAGACACTGGAAGGTAAAGGTTAAAAAAGACTGAAAGATACAAATATAAAATTTAGAAGTTCACTGTCTCACGCATCGTTCAGCTTCTTATTGATAGCGGCGAGCGTCTCAGATGGAACATGAACGAGCCCAAGAGCTGCAAGAAGTGCAGTTGCTTTAGTTTTTTGGTCGTGTTGTGCTGCGGCACGCTCATCGTCTAGAAGCCAGCATGAGCCCTGCTGCTTTTGAAGCTCTTGATGTAGCTGCTGTACCTGTGCTGTGGAGTTCTCAAGCCTTGACTGAATCTCTGCTTCAGCCGTTTCGTTTGCGGCCTCTTGTGCTATGCTGTCCGTGAGACGGGCACTAGCTAACTCAGTAAGTAGGAGCTCTTCTTCATACACCCGCCTACCACGTGCAATCAATAGGATAGGATAGCAATGCACTAGCTTATTGCGAAGACATAAATGAGCCTCAGCACAGCCTGACTGAGAGAAAATCTAGCGCAGCGCTTGTTCCCGTTGGATGGAGAGGCCACCAGGTGATGACACGTCGCGGGAATGAAGCATAAAAAGCCTCGACGCTACTGGCCTGACAGGAAACCTTTTTAATGTGCAAGTCACTGGTCTCAGACATGTAATTCGGCTCTTCTTTTAGTGGCTGTTGAATCACCTAAAACAAATTTAAATCGACGTGCACATGGTTACTTCCTCCCGAGGGCGGAGGTGTCTACAATTTTCCTCTGTAACATCGAGGATCCCAGCCTCACCGAGCAGCTGTGTTACTGTACAAATCTACACTTCAAAACTTTGTCTTACTTCCAGTCCTTCAGATTGAAAAGGTCGGCGCGGAGCTGAGCTGCAGTGGAGGTAAGCTCGTCCCTGTAAAGGAAATTAACACGCTTTTTCCACGTCGCTTGCTGCCTTTCAGACGTCCACGTAATGTGTAATAGCATCTTCCACCTCCTGATCTACTTCATTTTTATTGCCTGCTGGCATGGTTATCCCCTGCGTGAGACACTGTCTTTCTCCACCGTTTTCCCTCATTGCCAAACGTTGATACGCAGCCCATAAAATGTTACGGTTTGACGTTATTCCTTCTTGGTCACTGTAAGGACATTTGTGGGCACTTTTGCTCACTGTCCTACCTCATTTTTTTCAACTCCCCTTGAATTTTTTCCCTGAGAGCGCCCTGCTTTTCCTTTAGAGCAGTCAATTGTTCTTGGTAGGCTGCAAATTTGGCGGCCTGAGCGTCTGTCATCGTCCCAGGGGTAACACTTCTCATCCATGCCTCCCTATTGCACCAGTAAAATTAGACAAATTTAATTTCAGCCAATGTTCCGTTGGTATACCTCGCTGGTCATGGAGGGCTTGCAAGAATACAGCGCATATTTTCTTCTGCTACTTCATGCCTCAGCACTGCTTTCTGGGAGAGCCTCTAATACTTACCATTTGTCAGCTTGTAGTTCAAGGGCACTGAGTGCGTCTTCGGCCTTCAGCCTTCCTCCCATCATTCTTTGAAGAGCTCTCTGGGCAGCTTCGTCTGTTGGATGGACTGCTTCACCAGGCAGCAATGTTCCTTGACCTCCTTTCGTCAGTCCTGGCATATCTGCAGTTTTTGGAGCTCCAACCAGTGCGTTTGCCTAAGTGCCGGATAATAATGACACGTATACTCAGCAGAAAACACGAACTACTCGTCCGGTCATGTGATGTAGGAATGGGCTCGGATCCACAGTCAGCAAGCCGTTTTTCGCTTACTAAATCCTTTACTGTATCCTCAGTTAAGGGTACTGACAATTCTGGGCCTGACTGGTCATTGGCCTCTCCTATGTGGGCTGCGCATTCCCTCGCCTTCGTAGCTAGCTGCTGCATTTTGTCTATTTTTCGAAGAACGGTGCTACTACACTCCTCTAGTCGCCGATTGAAAGAAGTTTGGAGCTGCAAAAGCAGGTGATTGAGTAACCAGCAGCGTCAGTCTAAGTAAACATTACCCCAATGGGTTCATCACAAGAGGAAAGTAAAGCATTCGCAAAGCTCTTCTCACCATGCGTAAATGCAAGCGCGGTGAAGGCGCCGAAGGGGCTAAAGCAACGAATTTTGTTATCTAGAGCTTCCGCTGACTTAAAATATTTTTCACGTTCCCCCTACCTCAGCCAATATCGCGCGCAAAACCCAGAATTGGATGCGACGTGAGGCATTGGTTGCAATCAAAAACGGCATCTTCAATAGCCCGCTTAAATTTTTGAGGGGTTCCTGGGAGTAAATCACTTGCCGGCGGCTCGCTGTCCCTGCGCCATCAGGGGGCGTTTGAGGCGCAACCGCACTTTCTACAGAAGGTCTTGTAGCCTCGCTACAGTCTGCACGCCGGTTGGGGCAACAGGCATGGGCTTTCGCTTTAACACACGGGATGTGCGTCGGCCTAGGTTTTGTTCAACTAAAAGGAGCCCAATAGCTTCTTCCCATACATGGGCCACTCATCACAGCCGCAGCCGATGCAGTTAATTCGGTTCTAACCTTGGGTTTCATCTAATGAATGGTAGAAAGCCAAGTAGCGTTGTGCACTTTTGCCGAAGCCGCCTATAGGAGGTGTAAGATCTTCCTGTTGCATCTGCAGCATTGATTCATGGGAAGGAAGTAATTGTCTTAGCCATTCGTCTTCCTTGAGCTGTAGTTTCCTGAATTGCGCCATCAACATAGCAACCATGCAGGCTTGTTGTGCGCTGTCAGTGTATGAGTATTTTGTACTGTACTGGTCTGTTATACTCAGGGCTCGTACACTGCGTTTCATGAGGGCAGCTAGGCTCATGAAACTTTCCTCAAGAAGATAAACTTTGTCTCTAGGATAGTATCTCTGGGTCGCTGACGGAAGCGGAGGTAGCTCTTCTCAGTAATCACGCTACCGGGCTTCTCCGCAGGAATAGCGAGCTCCTTGGGAGCAGTTAGGATTGAGGCTTGCAAATGCTGCACCAAGCTGCGGTGAAATGCAAAAAATGCGTGTTGCAGCAGCAGCAGCTGCTGCTGCTTTTCCATTTGAGTTGCGATAGCTTGTTGGTTGACAATCATGCGGACACTGGCATCCACGTTCGCCGCCTCAGCTTCCAGGCTACGAAGAGCGTCCGAGCCCTAAAGCAGCCACGCGTTCATACTTGCGCCTCGGAGATTTAGAACAAGGTTTCACTTCCACACCTTTTGGAACAGCAGATGGACGTTGCTAGAGGCAAATGCCATTGTCATGCATCTGTCTGAGTGTTCTCACTGTCACTCTTTCAACTAAAGTCTGTAGCTCTTCTTGAATGGCTTGCTTTTCTCGCATAATAGCCTCCATCTGTGCTTGCACGTCAGGGGCCGCAGATAAGCGACGAGCCGTATACAATCGAGACTTCTTCGGCAATAACTGTGAATTAGATGGATCGTCATGAGCTTCTTTCAAACCGTCGAGATCCTGAAGAAGCTTTCCTTCTGGAGAGGCTCTGTTGGAGACAGTTGAACTGCACGCACAAGCATTCAGAGTCACATAATGCTGCACTGTCATTTATGTAGGATTGGGTAGCGAAAGTAAATGTGAATCTGCTCCGTGTAAGGCACAGGGTAGGACAGCCGACAGTGCTTCCACAGAAAGCTGCCACCTTACCAAGAAAATTCAACTCTAAAGGAAGTCGCCTGCTCTGTCTCGTCACTACATGCATGTGGCTCTAATTGTCCTATGCAATTCTCAAGCACCCAAAGCTGGAACAAGCCTGGTTCCCTTAAGGTAGCCACAGCCACCTGCCCTTTGGCAGTTGCGATGGTAAGAGATAGTCGTGCGTGGTGAATTCCCCATGAAGAGATACATGGGGCTACTGCACAAACGTTGCACTTGTTCGCCAGCGTTTTGTACTGCGCATTTTTGTCCACTAGTAGCGAAAGCGAAGCAGGGCTTCCCAGCAATTCAGGTTGAAACAGAGCTCTCAAGAATTGCCCATCCGCTTGAAGCGCAAGCACCAGAATTGGTCTCTCTACAATAGCAAAATGTTTCTCGTTTGCGGTCTCCTTCGTTGTCTCGCTGATGTCCCACAACAGTTGCACCCGCTGTATCGGAAGGCACCCAATGGACACGTATGTAAGGGGCGTGATAGCTGGTGCAGCCACGAATGCCCTTGCACCGCTACAGGATTCACCGAACACGTCTCGCAAGTGAAAGAGTACAACCCCTCCAGATGCGGTGCCAACCGCCAGAAATGGGCCTTCGCTTGCTATACAGAGTGGTGACACGCTAAGCCGCGTGCAGCGAATCTGCAATTAATAAAACGCAGAGGTATGACAGCGCATAAATATCCAACCGCCAGCAGTGAGAGTTTCAAATACTCCCAAACCAAGCCTCGAAGCACAGCCCGTGTCGTTGCTTGCTAGTATCTGGTCAAAACTGTCTCATACTTGAAGTTGCTACGATTGAAACAACATATCTGAAAGATGGCACTTATGTTGTTTTAATCATAGCAGCTTCCACAAAGACAACAAGCTGAAAGTAATATTTGTGGGGACTTTCTTCCAGAAGACTGTTGCCAACACAGTGGCACGAATGACGTACATTTTCCCTCAAGCGTACCTGCGGAAATGATGCAAGCTCTTCGCTGTCAACTCGGGGGATGAGCAAGGCGATGCCACTAACTGGAGCTCCAAAGCTTGCTGTTGAAAACGCAACAGAAAATACTCCAACAAGGGTTCCGGCATAACTTGTCGGCTGCTCGTCTTCCTGCTGAAATTCTCGCCATAGTTCAACTCCCCTTTTTACCCAGCAGCCTCCATTCTCTGGAATACGAAGAGTGGCGGGAGGCACGTGTCCCTTGATTAGCGGTGACTGCAATCGACAAACAGGCCAGGCAAACAACAATTGTTTTCTGCTGCTAGCTTTCCGTTGTAACTATCGAATGCGAAGTCCCAGAACCTGCGCTTAACGCCGTTTTTTGCTACATAGGATGCGCGATACGTCTGCAGTGTTCCCGTCCAGCCAGGACGAAAGGAAAAGCCTCTTTAGAACTGTCGTAGGGGTGTTCGTTTCAGTGCGTTCGGGCCCCAGAAAGAAGGCAACCTCGCCACTGGAACAAACTGCAGCCCAGGCAGTATCTCCGCCCTCATCATCTACTTCAGTAGAGTGCATGCAGCTTGATGAAGGAGCCAATGATGGCATGCCCTTGATCTTGATTCCCACAATGCACCTGATTGTACCACTTGAAAACCTGCAGCAGCAAAATAGCTGAGCTTGCCTCCACGTCTAGCGATTGTGTTGACTCTGGGCGATCCATTTTGCTCATTTTTGTGTTTGTTCTGTTCTGTACTAGCATAGGCATAAGTTCTGTGTGCGTGGGATACTCAATACAGCGGCATTAATTCACTGCTTCGTAAGCATCTGCTGCAGTACCACCACAATACCGAGCGTACCGGCAGACTGGTCTGATGCTGCCATTTTCCAGCCAGACGACAGACCCACCAACAAGGCCTAGAAGGCATTGATTTTCGTGCAGCTCCTCTAGATTTCTTTCATTTCCTGTCTCAAAATCCATCATATATCCTAGGCAGCTGATGGATTGCTGAATAATGGAGGAGTGCTGTAGCGTTGGTGAAACTTTCATGCTCTTTCCCGTTTTCTCCACAGAAACCAGCCACCCCCTACGACGCCACATCACCACTCACAGTTGCGCTTGCATGCCTTGTAGTGCAAGTAAATGCATTTTGTGGAAATGCTCAATAGACCGTATGACTACAACAATGAGTTTTTGCCATGTTGCTCCCTAAATATCCAAGGCGTGCATGGAAGGAGCCCACACTTCATGCATTAGATGTGTATCGTGATCCACTGATGTGGACACCAGCAACAAAAATAAATGCAAGCCTCTCTGTGTCTGTGAAGTACGGATGTCGTCTTGCCCAGATATTGCTTACATGATTCTTCCAGAGGCATGAGCAGTAGTAAGGCGCAGACACATTTGATGGGGAGCGCAGCCGTCAATAGTGAGTGTCAAACCGACAACTCCACCAAAAGAGGTGCCGGCAAGTGCAAGCATGGAAGCCGTATCACTGCAGATTAGGCGCAAATCATCCCATTCAACAGATTAGTCTTATTTACTGTGGTTCTAGCAAACACCTATGGTGCTTTTGTTGAACGTATGCGTCTCCTCACTTTCGGTCTTCGCCATCCGAATCATCCACAGCGGGGTCTTTCTCGCCCACTTGAACATCTCCCCATGTTTTGTCTACCTCGGTCTGAAGAGACAGAACATTAAATTAATCACGTGCGAACGGCCAGTAACGAAGCGAAAATTGGGTTTTTATTGCCTCATCTACCCGTCTACTTCATGATAAACAGATAGCCAGCACCTGATCAGTTCGCAGGTGAGCAAACGGCAGGCAAGCTTCTGGTGCTACTGGTGCTACTGAAGTGCTGCGTAAGTGGGGATAGTAATACGGGCGTTGTAATCTTACTTGTATGCAGCGCTCTTTGCTCAGATTCCACACGCAGCCTGCAGTATCGGAGATAAGAAGAGGGGCCAATTCGCTACTGCGACTGCTTGGCAGTCGGAGGGACCCCAGTGCCCTAAGCATATGAGGCACCATAATCAGGAGGACCGGGAGCCACTAAGATGGTCATTTAGCAAAAGCGACGACTCAAATCCGGTTAGCAGGTGGTGTTCAAGCCCTTGCTGCCAATTGACATAAGGGGCGTCTCCGTTCGAATAAGCACTATGATTCGCAATGTGAGACAGTTTCTTCTGGAACACTATCAATGCCATCTCAAAGGGGCAACGACACCAGGAGAAAAAGGCCATGGCAGCCATGAAGTGGTCCTCTGTATCCACTTTTGGCCAACTCACTTGCTTAAAGTTGTTCCTTCACTAGAGCTTTTTGATATCGGAATCTCAATCCTGATTTGATGCTGCAGTAGTACTAGCGGCCCAAAAGTGCCACTGTCAGGGGTGGAAATTTGGCTTCTCCCCTTAGCTGCAGTTAGAGATTGTGTATCGTGGTCCTGCTGTAGTTGGGCGAGGTGGAATCTTAGCTCTTTCGCCCTGCTTTCCTGCATTCCAGCCGTGCCCACATATTCCAACACATGCTATCGTAACGACAGTCTGGTAGCTTTCTTCAGCTGTGAACGCCGATAACAAGTTAAATTTGCTGCACTGCAACGAGTAATTCTAAATTATAGGGTTCTGTGTTGCTATTAGCTAGGATTTTCTCAACCACCCCCATGAATCAGTCCGCTTACTCCAGCATTCTGTGACAGGGCTTCTGCTAATCTTTCATTAATTTTGTAGCTATGGAGGACAGACGAGTCTGTCAAGCCAAATAACACGCCTGTCTCATCCTCAGTTGCTAATGAAACGTACTTTTCCTGTGAACTGGAGATCCATGCCAGAAAGGGGGCCCCAGGGTCTTTACATCCTACTCCGATTGCTAGGAATACCTTGTTGCTAAAGGCTAGAAAAAGGAAATTACTACAATTGTTGTCATCAGTCCCCTTTTTGCCAGCAGCTACCCAACATGCTCCGCTAATTGTCACAACTCTCTCCAAGCCAGCAGCGGCACCAGACATTTGTGGCAACAGATTTCCACTTGTAATAAACCGGCATTCTGGACTATCAACGAGCTGCAGGGTAGTTAGATTTGTGTCTGAAAGTACAGCGAAGATAGTTCCACTTGCAGCGAGCACCCTCTTCGGGAAGGAGGCGAAGTCGTCCCACTGCAGCGTGTGGCAAGCCTGTATCGACCCATCTGATGCGTTTAGAACATTGACGTGATGGGTTGTGATAACGTGTCCTTGTTGGCCGTTGCCTTGCTCCAAAGTCGACGATAGGCAAAACAGCCGGCCGCCGCACGGTGAAAAATCGAGAGAAACGATTTCCACTGGACTTGCAGCCGTTATTCTCTGCCTCCAAATGCGCTTTAGTGGAATGCAAGAGAGCTGAAGGAGCAGGACCTCTCCCTCGATGCCAGAGGCGCCCACTGCCAGAAGTTTTCTTTTGTCATAGCTAGTGCAAGACACAAATACCCCTTGGTGTGCGCCTGTTGGTTGTTCGGCGTCCGTGGCAGGATCACCGCCCAGTTTAATGTATTCAGTTTCTCCCTGGGAGTTTGTTACGCGCAGATGTTCTCCAGAGAGTTCGCAGATGCAGCCATCAGAGAAACAGGAGAAGGCTTCTGCTTTTGAGCCGCATGACAGCAGCAAAGAAGGTCGCCAGCAGGGGAGGGAATTAGTCATTGCTGCTGAATGGGAGTGGTGCGTAGCATTTCATTCCAGAAAACTACCACAGTGCTCGAGCATTCACTCGAAAGCAGGTTTTGCCTGTGAAGAGAAGCACTTCGGGCTAGGTAAGGGCTGCAAGGGCAACGAGATTTCTAGGCCCCTTGTGATTGGCTCGCTGCTCTGAGCATGATGCAGGTATACATGCGTATTCTTAGTCCCATGCCTAGAAGTTGAATGCTTTCTGTGGCGTTTATGAGGACGTCGCACAATGTTCACTGCAGTCTGAATGTGCTGAGGAGTGGGAATAAGAGGTATGCCAGTTTACTGGGTACTCTAGATGAGCAGACGTGCGTAATTCGCAGTAGTTGAGTAATTGACTTCATTCGTACTTTATCTCCTTTGGTATGTATGTGATCGTGTACGTGTGGCTTTCTAACAGCTAGACTAGATCCTGGCCCTACACCCTAGCAGTGAACGGCAGACGCAGCTTCTGGTGAAACGCACAAAATGTTGATTGGAAAATTTAATTTGTTTTTAAAGACAGCATTTTATACGTTACTTTTGTTAAATTCCTTTCTACTGCGAGGAAACAGCATGGGAACTTTCTCAAGCGAGTAAGCGTAGGTGACCTCACACCGTGGTAGGTAGTAAGTAACAGTCTCGATGTCTTATTCAGATTGCAATTATGACCACCGAGCTATATTTGCTCATTTGTATTTTCCATCATGCAGTTGTGGGACTTGGAACCGGTTAGTGCACTGCGGAGTCCCTGCCTGCGTCCTCCTCAAGTTCCGCTGCTTCACCACGCTTCGTTTATGCAGTCTAGTTCAGCGGATGCTGAAGGCACGCTCAGTGGTTTGCAGTCTATTCGCTTACCAAGAAAAGATGTATGCAGGAGACAGCACTCTACAAGAAAGGTATGTCAAGTGTCCCTGCAGTAGTAATATTGGGAATGCTGATTCCTCCATCAATAGGCTGGTAACAGCACCTCACACTGGACTCGGACCTTTTAGCAGAAATCTATAATTCCCTCAAGCCTTCTCTTGAGAAACTTCTTTAAATTGTTCATATAGACAGCCTGACGGCCTCGTGCGTGCCACGCGGAATTACCAACGACTGCGCGGCGTCGTGGAGTATTCATCCCGTTTGATTAAGCACAAGAATCCGCTCATAAGACCAAAAAATTGAGTGAAGCCCCTTTGTGCTGATCTTGCAGGTCACTTTAGCCAGGTGGCTAAGCATTTCATGGAGTGCAGCTCCACATGAGCAAAATATCAAAGCAGTTTACTTTGATTTGCTTTCAAATCACTTCTGGTAAACAAGCACTACATACTGCGTCGATAGCTTCGTCAGTTGACCGAATGCAAGAAAATATGCTCGAAGTGCCTCGCTTTGCACCTTTTGCGGTCCTGTGTTCACCACACTAGAGCCCACCGAGGAGTACTTGTGCATTTTAGTCTCTCCAGCCTGTAGCAACGTGCAGCTAGAGTCCAGTGCAGCACTCAAAGATGCCTTTCAGAAATGCTCGAGTCAGAAACGTAATAGAAACTTCCAGTTGGTCAGAATGCCGGCGCGCTTGCACTCAAGAAGGTAGTCCGGTAAAAACAATTTAGAATTATTCTTACTGGTCTGCCTTCTTACGCAGGATATTCAATCGAAAGCATTACATCCTCAATGCGGCGTATCGCAGTACAATCAGTACAATCATGATTAAATGTAGAGATGTCCTAGGGTCCATCCAGATTACTCAATTTCCGGCAAATTTGCTGCACAGTATACACCCGCCAAGTTGGTCTTTGCCGGCACATTTGCACTGTACCCGTAGAATAACGGATTTTGGAGTTTGGAACTTTAGGGCAATTGGAGGACGGCACGAAGCACACTATCCGCCACGCATCCTCTTTGACTGCTTTAGGTATTCTCGGCTGTAAGTATCCAGGGCTGACTTGTGTTTCCAGAAGCGCCTCACCACAAAGTGCTATGAGCTGAGGCTGCCAACTCACTGTATCAACGAGCAACCTTGTACAGTGACTTCCTCTTGCCCATTTCAGTAGTTGGACAAGGTGATACGATGGCATGAATGCTGGTTGCTCTGTTTCCTACTCAAGTAGCGAGGCCTCCATCCGAAACAACTTTTTATTGACAGGCAGAAGCCTACAGTTTCGTCCACCCTACGGCGTAAAGCCCTTTTAGTTCACTGGAAAATGCTGCTTGCCGGCAGGCAGTGTGGTGTGCAGGCGGAAGAGTACACGCTTTCAGCGTCGCATCACAGCCACTCCAACTGAACACTGCAGAGAGGAAGATGTGGGCTGCATTCACCAAAGAATGAGGATCAACTTTTGTGCTCAAACAGTACAAGCTGTGCTCGCGCAGTGACAAAGCTTCTCTGCAGAATCTAGACGCAACTGCTTGCCTTTCGTTGCTCAGATGGTGTCACTGGATAGAATCTTTTCGTCGGGGAGCGAACGATGCAAAAAAGAAGCTGCGGGCCCTGCAGCTCACCACACAGATTATTGGCTCTCTATTTGCAGTTATGCTTGCGCAACCGTATGCCGTCCATGATGGTGCTTCAAGTGGCTCATTCAAATGTATGAACATGACATGGCACCTTAAAAATACCGCTAGAAGTGAAGGGGAATTGATGCTTTTTAGTGCCGCTGAGAAGAAAAGCGGGGGCTAATGGGGCTAGTGCTAAATGTTGTTGAGCAGTGAAACAGCAAGAAAGTGCAATATTTTAGTCCCGACAAGTAGTAAACCATTTATTGTCCTCACCCTCGCCTAAAGCTCGTTTCAGAGTTTCCAATATTTCCGGCCGGGATTTGAGAGCGCGTCTGAAAAGCGAACAAGAGTCCTTCAAGTTACAGCCAAGATGTACTTAGCAGAAACTCCATGTAACCATTTAGTATCTCCTTTTGCGTGAGGAGCTGGAAATCGTACAAATACATGCTTATGATTCTAAGCAAAAATGGAGAGCACCAGCTGGACTCCGGACGCTTTAGCTGTTTGCACGCTCCATGAGTGAGTCGAGAATTCCGTCAACTGTTGAATATCGCGCATTCCGTGTTGGTCATTGCATGTACTGCCCAGTCTGCTCAGCAAAATCCTCTTTCTTACCCCATGGCCCGGTATAAGCTCTGCAGCATGCCTTTAAGGCATTCAGCATGAAAGTGGATTTCCGCATTGCAAAATTCGCCTCTGTCTATCGAGTCTGTGGATTGGTCTGTCTTATCGGCGGTTAGTCGGCGCTTCTGTATGCTAGCCTGCAGCTTGTGCCTCAGTTGTTGCGACCGCCTCAGCTTCTCATCAACAGTAAGGCGCTCCTTCTCTAGACTTCTCATTTTCTCATCTGCTTCCTGCAGCACCAGCCAGCTACAAGCGCTGTATTTACTGCGTCGCTTCATAGACTTAGGGTCGCATTCCTATTTCGGGGATGCTACTGTCAATATTTCCGCTTTTCCAGGCATCACAGGTTTCTGTTTGCCCAGAAAGCTTAACAGACCCGTAATTTTTCGATAACCCCTTGATGTATCTGTTTCGTCTGGTGGAGACAACGCTGCTCTCTTTCGAGAGAATCCTTTAGAACGCCGATCTGCTGCTGTTGCGCGAAAACTACGTGATTTCTGAAGAACAAAGCTCCCTCTTTTTCCGCTTTCTTCTCCTGTAAAACGCTAAGAATTCTGCTTTCTTGTTGGAGTTTCGTGCGCAGGCGGCCGTTAGAGAGAGATACATCCCTAAGCGAAGCCTCAAGGCCTTCTACCTCGGATGTAGCGTTCTGCAGCCTGCGGTGTAAATCCGCACCCTTTCTTTGCAATTCCTCGCGTTCCTGTACGGTGTACACAGCCACCAAGGCCCTAAGAACAATCTCGAAATCAGTCACACTTTTCCTTTTCTCTTTGAGAGGCTACGGCTGCAAGGCAGCGAGCCAGGCCTGGTATGCCGGTTACTGATTCTACTGGGGTTAATGTGAGCATGCTGAGCAAAGCTGCAATTGGCTACAAAGCTTTCTGAGGATACCTGCCCAACACGGATGACGTAGTATGCCTGGGAGTGGCCTCCACCATCTGTTGTTTGACCGCACTGCAGGCCGAGACAAACAACGAAAATACCACAATTTGTTCACAAGTTTAATGGTGTGCGGTCGGCTGAAGCTGCTGTCAGAATATTGGCGTCAACAAAGCCAACTGTACAGCATCTTATGGCGCGACTCTGTGTGCTGCTCCATGAATTGAGCAACACCCACATTAGTAGCAGTAGTAAATCCGTCTACGCATTCACCTGCACAAGGTTTTCGTATCTTGCTTCGAGAGCGGAGATCTTCGACCTTCGCTCTGCTGCTTCTCTTGCTATTCTCCGCCTCTCCTCCTCAGCCGCTCTCTGCGTAGAAACGTTGAAGGAATTCAAGACTCCACTGATAGGGGAACGGATCAGCGTCGCTTCTGGTCGTTTCACGGGGATAATGTTGAGGACATTGCAAGGTTTTTCTTCAGTGAGAGAAAATCAGTAAAATCAGATTGTCACTGCACTAGGCAGAGAAGAGCAATTAAAGAGTTGACAAATCTACAAATATTGTCCACGCAGAAGTGTTTCATATGCTATAAGTTAAATGTTCAAAGCTGATCAGTTAGATGACCGCAACTGATATAGACACACTGGTAGAAAATGCAATATGAAGCTTTATTCAGTTACAACTGATAGGGCGTTTTTTACTCTAAAATAGAGAAGCCTCTTTAGCGCATGTAGTAGTTTTGACTTAAACAAACTAATGGCCTGTCATAATGAAGAATGCGGGCCCGAATTTCGTTGCCCACGCTGTTAATGATTGCGCTAAAAGCCCACCAGCTGTCCTCTAGCGCCATCTAATTCCGCGTCCATTGCAGAGAGGGTTTCCTGCCCATGGAGTTGCTGCTGCAGTTTTCTGTTTTCGGCTTCTAAAGATTCATCAGCACACGCCTGCAGCTCCTCATGAAGCCGTGCGACCTTACGATGGCAGCGCATAAAGTGAAAAGGCACGCAAA